GACGTAAGATGGGCTATCCATGATTAGCGATTAGAGCTCTGCATGAATGGATTCAATGAATTAATTAGAATTTTGAGCTTAATTAGATTAGAATTAATTTGAATTTTGAGTTTAATAGAATTGAATGAATGAATGGCTTGAATTCCGAATGAATTTGAAGAAGAAAGGCCCATCATTTTGTGATTAAATCTGCCTAAATTTTATTTACTATGCAGTTAACATTGATTTGTTAAAAATGTTTCACTTTTTGTTCTCAAAAAAATTGAATTATGTTGAATTTTTTGTTTTATATGAATGAATGAATTCAATTAGAATTTTGAGTTTAATAGAATAGAATGAATTTGAATTTTGAGTTTAACAGAATTGAATTAATGAAAGGCATGAATTCCGAAATAATTTAAACGACAATTTCTTTTGAAGAAGAAATTTGATTTTATTTACTATGCAGTTAACATTGATTTTTTAAAAATATTCCACTTTTTGTTCTCAAAAGAAAGCAAAACAAAATCTGGCAAGTTAAAAAAATTCATAAAAAATATTCACTCATTCCTTCAATTCGAAATGAATTAATTGAATTAAACAAATCAGAAATTTCATGGCATAATATGATAAAACAAAAATTGAATGATGATGAGCGATTCTATATATAAGCATGCAGTCATGTTTTGTCAGATTATCTATCTTACCATTGCCTTCCAAATTGGGATGACTACATCATGCCAAATTAGCATAATCTTCTGGCTCTTTAAGATGACTTTTATATCTAGTAACCTCTGCTCTTTTTCAGCGTGGAGAGCGTGGGCAGCAAGGAGGCTTTCAAGAGCAAACCGCAAGCCCTGAACACCGTCGAGCTGATGCGGATCTGCAGCTCCGGCCTGGGCATTGGCCCGTTTCAGGCCATGCAGATCGCGGAGCGACTGTATACGCAGGGCTATATTAGTTATCCGCGCACGGAGACCAATCAGTATCCGACCAACTTCGATCTGCCTGCGGTGCTGCATGTGCTGAAGCCATCGGGGGATTTCGGCGAGGAGGCGCGCTCTATTCTCGGTGATATGCAGGCGCCGCGAAAGGGCAAGGATGCCGGCGACCATCCACCGATTACGCCCATGAAGCTGGGCAATCGCAGCGACTTTGATCGCGACACCTGGCGCGTCTACGAGTTCATCTGCCGGCACTTTATGGGCACCGTGTCGCGGGATCTCAAGTATCGCGTGACGACGGCCAAGCTGCGCGTGGGCCTGGAGAGCTTTAGCTGCACGGCCAATGTGCTGATCGATGCCGGCTTCACCAGGGTGATGACCTGGCAGGCTTTTGGCAGGGATGAACCGATGCCTCCCTTCGTTCAGGGCACCCAGGTGGCCATCAACGATGTGCGGCTGACCGAAAGCCAAACGGGTCCGCCCGATTACCTCACCGAATCGGAGCTAATCACGCTGATGGAGCAGCACGGCATCGGCACAGATGCCTCCATACCGGTGCACATCAACAACATTTGCCAGCGCAACTATGTGCATATCGAGAACGGGCGCAAGTTGATTCCAACAACGCTGGGAATTGTTTTGGTGCACGGCTATCAGAAGATCGATCCCGAGTTGGTGCTGCCCACCATGCGAACGGAGGTGGAGCGAATGCTAACGCTGATTGCCCAGGGATCGGCCGATTTCCAGGATGTCCTGCGCCACGCCATCCAGATCTTCAAGCTGAAGTTCATGTACTTTGTGAAGAATATCGCCAATATGGACGCCCTGTTCGAGGTCTCCTTCTCGCCGCTGGCCGAGTCAGGGAAGGCGCATTCGCGGTGCGGCAAGTGCAGGCGCTACATGAAGTACATACAGGTTGGGTTGTGATTTATGCTTTGTAAATTATCTACTAATTTCTAACTAATTCTGTAGACCAAACCCGCGCGGCTGCACTGCTCGCATTGCGACGAAACTTATGCCCTGCCTATGGGCAATGTGAAGGTGTATCGCGAGTTCAAGTGCCCGCTGGATGACTTCGATCTGCTGGCCTTCTCCACCGGCGTCAAGGGTCGTTCGTATCCCTTCTGCCCGTACTGCTACAACCATCCGCCGTTCAGCGATATGCCGCATTTGGGTGGCTGCAACACCTGCACGCATGCCACATGCCCGCACTCGCTGAACACGCTGGGCATCTCCGGCTGCGTGGAGTGCCCCACCGGCGTCCTCGTGCTCGACTGCACCCTGGCGCCCACCTGGAAGCTGGGCTGCAACCGCTGCGACGTGATCATCAACTGTTTCAAGGGGGCCACCAAGATCACAGTGGAAGGTCTGTATATATTATATATTATACAGGGTTCGGAGATTGACACACATGTTAAAAAACATGAAAAATTGTATTTTACAGTTGTTAAAATGTGAAATAAAATTTTACTTGTGTTTCTTACACAATGCGTTATTAACACGACGTGTTTTTTACACACTGTGCTTTTAACACAAATGAAAATTACATTTCACTGACATTAACGAGTCGGCACTTTAATATAAAAAACTCATTGTTAAATTGACACATATGTTAAAAACATGAACAATTTTATTTTACAGTGTGAGCAAAATTGTTAAAATGTGCAAAAAATGTTTACTTGTGTTTTTTACACAATGTGTTATTAACACGACGTGTTTTCTACACACTGAGTTTTTAACACAAATGAAAATTACATTTCACTGACATTAACGAGTCGAAGGAAAAATGAAAAAAAAAGTTTTAACCATTTCAAAGCATATATGAATAGAAAAGCGTGAATTGTTCCGTTCAACATACAATTCAGACACTTTAATGTCAAAAACTTATTGTGTGAAAAACACGTCGTGTAAAAAACATGTCGTGTAAATAACACAAATGACACGTGTGTGTTATTTATGTTTCTAACATCAGAAGGATACAATTTTTTACACACAAGTGAAAAACTTTTTTTGAACACTTTGACATAGTAATGACACAAGTTTCTTACAGTGTGTGTTGTTTTCCGAACCCTGATATTATACATATACTTTATATATTTATATTATTTTCTTTTACAGAGGCCAAGTGCCAGGAGTGCGGCGCCCAGCAGGTGAACGTCGTCTACAAGTCGGACAAGAGCAAGTTCAAGGACGGCAGCGAGGAGAAGAGCGGCTGCATCTTCTGCTCCACGGACTTCTCCCACCTGGTCGAGAAGCATCGGGCGGTGGCCTCGCGACCCGTTCGCTCTGGCGGCGGCTCCCGGGGAGGAAAGGTGGGACGTGGTGGCGGCGGAGTAGGTGGACCCGCTGGTGCCGCCGGTGGAGCGGCGACCGCTGGCGGCGGCGGTTCTGGTCCTGGGGGCGGTGGGCGTGGCGGACGCGGCGGGAGACAGCCCAAGGATAAGATGGCCCAGCTGGCGGCGTATTTCGTTTGAAGAAGACCCCTAGATTGCATTTAACACAACCACAGGAACACAAAGCCGAATAAAAGAAACGAAATTTGTATAAAGAATTGCGCCTTTTTCTCTTGGGTCGAGGGTTTCTGTTTAGAAAAAAGGGCGTAATTTATACAAATTTATAATTTAGTGATATGGATATGGATCAACTTAAAAATTAAGATTTCAGAATTTCCCTATTTTATTGTTCTTATTTCAACTAGTTTCATTTAAAATTTAATTTCTAACTATATTAAATATCTGAAGTCTTGAAAAATTTGTATTGTTAAAAGTAATACATATCTGAACCCCCAATAATACATTTTTCAAGCAAACAAAAAAGTTTTTTTTATACGAGTATAAAGTGTTTGTATACAAATTCAGCTAAACTTAAAAAAATAGTATTCATATGTATCTAAAAATGTACATACACATAATTTCTTTAAACCCCTACTTTCACACAATGGAAATTTGATAAATCAGCAAACAAAGAGACCCCCATTTATTTTCGTGACTACGGGTTTTCTGTATTAGATATTAGATCCAAGGGTTGTTTTTATGAAAATGTCCCATGACTCACTTGAGTCTTTGTACATACATACATATGTATATCTTATATACTTTCTATATTTTTTTTAACGACTGGGTTATGACTATTATTTATTCCTGGCTGAATAATAATCATTTAGAATATTCTAGTTCTTTGAGTTTAAAAATGTACCATTAAAAACGTATGCATATTTTTATACATATTTAGATATATCTGTACATACATACATACATAAAACATAGTTACATATACACTATATACATAAATACGACGGAGTTCTACTTTAATTATTTTCGTATTTCTTGATATTAAATATTAAATAAAATAAATAAAAACTTAATGTTGATAAGCTATTGTAGGGGTTAAGGTACATCAAGGGTTAAGGTGCTGACATCAGTCTACATCCGATTTCATCAGCCATATTCATTCCAGGAACTTTCCAGATGCACGCACACCGACATGCAGGTGCAGTAATGTACATATGTATGATAGAGTGGGGAAGTTGGGGAAATCATTATGGCATTATGTGTGCGTGTATGGGGCTCTCTTGTCTAAAGGCTGTTGACCAAAGCGAAGACAAATCCTCCCAGGCGGCGTCAAAACAAACAAAGGTCGTTTAACTCGACAAACAAAGAGCGTGACAAGATGTCCATGCATATATGTATATACATTTGTATATATAAATTTACACACCCTCCCCAGCTAGAAACACACACACATACACTCACAAACAGCTGCGACCAGTGCTGGAAAGCGATAGCCAGGCTATCGATAACTCTGCCATCCCAGCCCACTAGAGCGAGCGAGACGGAAGCCCTGCTCTAATGCAAGACGCATTTTCTTTTCAATGTCTTTTTTGCATATTTCAGCTAGCCAATTGATTGTCCTTCGCAGCTAACTAACTCTTGGCAACGCAAAATCTTATTCTCGATCGCCCAGACAAAGGAAATACCCCTAATAAAGCTAAACAAAGCGAAATAAATCGAACTACCACCCGAGAGAGAGCGAGAGGGCAGGCGGCGACTTTCCAGTCAAACTGCCTATAAATAGCGGCGCGCGGCCGTCAATCGGAGCATTAGCTGTGAAAAAATAGTAGAGAGCGGACGTGAAAAAAGGAAAGCGAAAAAGCAAGTTTTTGAACATCAAAAAGTATTATTCAAAAAGTGCAGAACCCAAAAAGTTTCGAGAGATAAATTGAGTTTTTATTGTGCGGCAAATTAAAAAATAAGGTGAGTTCAATTTCCTCGCTTTTCCAAATTGCAGTCAAAATGGCGACGCAGCTGGAAAAGTGCAGCGAAAAAGAAAATGGTGTTTTCCGTGTGTGTGTGTGTGTATGCGCAGTTCCAGGGGGCATTTTTTTTTCTTCCAATAGAATTAGAGATTAGTCACTTTAACTAAATTTGCCGTCTCATTGCGAAATTATTCAAGTTGTGAAAACATTTGGGGGAAAAACCAAGACTGTGTGTGTGTATGTGTGTGTATGCAAAAATACTTTTCTGGGTCACGGGAACTGGGTCACTACGCAGAAAAATCAATTGCGCACTTTCCTTCCAACTTGTCGATAACTAAACTTAATTTTTATACCCTTGTTTTTTTCACCCTCAGCCAAAATGCAAATTTTTGTGAAGACTTTGACTGGCAAGACCATCACTTTGGAGGTTGAGCCTTCCGATACCATTGAGAATGTCAAGGCCAAGATCCAGGACAAGGAGGGCATCCCTCCAGATCAGCAGCGTCTGATCTTCGCTGGAAAGCAGCTGGAAGATGGACGCACCTTGTCGGACTACAACATCCAGAAGGAGTCCACCCTTCACTTGGTTCTCCGTCTCCGAGGAGGCATGCAGATCTTCGTGAAGACTTTGACTGGCAAGACCATCACTTTGGAGGTAGAACCCTCCGATACCATTGAGAACGTGAAGGCCAAGATCCAGGACAAGGAGGGAATCCCTCCAGATCAGCAGCGTCTGATCTTCGCTGGAAAGCAGCTGGAGGACGGACGCACTCTATCCGACTACAACATCCAGAAGGAGTCTACTTTGCATTTGGTGCTCCGTCTGCGTGGAGGCATGCAGATCTTCGTCAAGACTCTTACTGGCAAGACCATCACTTTGGAGGTTGAGCCTTCCGATACCATTGAGAACGTGAAGGCCAAGATCCAGGACAAGGAGGGTATCCCCCCAGATCAGCAGCGATTGATCTTCGCTGGCAAGCAGCTGGAAGACGGACGCACCTTGTCCGATTACAACATCCAGAAGGAGTCCACCCTTCACTTGGTCCTGCGTCTCCGTGGAGGCATGCAGATCTTCGTGAAGACTCTTACCGGAAAGACCATCACCCTTGAGGTCGAGCCATCCGATACCATTGAGAATGTCAAGGCCAAGATCCAAGACAAGGAGGGAATTCCTCCAGATCAGCAGCGTTTGATCTTCGCCGGAAAGCAGCTGGAGGATGGACGCACCTTGTCCGACTACAACATCCAGAAGGAGTCTACTTTGCATTTGGTTCTCCGTCTGCGTGGTGGCATGCAGATCTTTGTAAAGACTCTCACTGGCAAGACCATCACCCTTGAGGTTGAGCCTTCCGATACCATCGAGAATGTTAAGGCTAAGATCCAGGACAAGGAGGGAATCCCTCCAGATCAGCAGCGTTTGATCTTCGCCGGAAAGCAGCTGGAGGATGGACGCACCTTGTCCGACTACAACATCCAGAAGGAGTCTACTTTGCATTTGGTTCTCCGTCTGCGTGGTGGCATGCAGATCTTTGTAAAGACTCTCACTGGCAAGACCATCACCCTTGAGGTTGAGCCTTCCGATACCATCGAGAATGTTAAGGCTAAGATCCAGGACAAGGAGGGAATCCCTCCAGATCAGCAGCGTTTGATCTTCGCCGGAAAGCAGCTGGAGGACGGACGCACCTTGTCCGATTACAACATCCAGAAGGAGTCTACTTTGCATTTGGTCCTGCGTCTGCGTGGTGGCGCTCTCTAGATTTTCTCACTTTTATAAAAAATAATCTCATCCATTTGATCTTGCCACGGCAAAACACAAGTATTCATGCTAAATTTTAGTTAATCGGCTTTGAAAAAAGGCTTCAAGTATAATCACAACATATATTGGTATTCTAAAAATAAAAATTCAATTTGTGTGTTCAAAAGTAATACGTTTTGTGTGGTTTATTTGGGATTGCAGAGGGGGCTTGTTTTGGGGGCAACGCTTATTTGCGCTTATAAAGGTCTACATATTTATGTATCTTTCAAATAATGTAAGGAAAGCTATAGTGTTTATCCTAAAATGTTCCTAATAAGTAAGTAAAATGGGGAAACGTCTCATATGTGATTCATATTTATAGTAGGTTTCGTAAAATAGAGAACATAATAAATTGGAAATTAGGATAAAAAATATGGATTCGGATTTTCGACGAATTAATCCTTTTTTTTATGGTTTTTTAGCCGTATCTTGGACATTTCAAGGCCTACAGCTAAAAGACCGACTGTTTTGAACAGCTAACGACCTATGCTAACGAATCCCATCACTTTCTGGGAAATTTATTTTTTGATAAATTTTCGCTTTTTTGATAAGGGGTAACATCACAATTTTTTGCGAAAAACGACAAAATTTAAACATTTCTAGGTTTGAATGCCAATTGTTAGGGAATTAAATTACGATTTCAACAAGGTATGACACTCCATATTTGGATCATTATTTCCTTTGCTACGACCAAAAAACTGATATTTTAGGGTGAAAAATATGGATTCGAACATAGTACCGTAATATTATTATTTCCATCCCTTTCTAATTAACATCATTCGATTGTAAAATAAATAGGTACATAGGTACATTGTAGTACAATGTTTAGGTACCTTAACTGGAATGGGGTCTAATTTAGGGGATTTTGCGGGAACTGCTGGCACATTCGAACGGTGGAGTCGGTCACACTTGAGGTCAGAGCACTTTTTTCCGAGCACAACAGGTTCGCAGTTGTTTTTTTTTTGTGTGAACGAGGAGAACAGGAGGCAGCTAGGATGAGCAAGGAAATCTATTTGGCCACCGTGAAGCAGCACAACACGGCCAAGGACCTGTGGATAGTCATCGACAACAAGGTGTACGATGTGACGAAGTTCCGGCTAGAGGCAAGTTGCGATGGAGATAATGATTCTGGATCCCAATCTATATCCATTCTATCCATTGCAGCATCCCGGTGGCGAGGACTCCCTGGTGGATGTGGCCGGTCGCGATGCCACCAAGGACTTTAACGACGTGGGTCACAGCTCGGAGGCGAGGTCAGTGGGTCCACCGATTCATCCAGTTCTCCTCAATATCTCTGGTCACTATCTCCAACTTCTCTTTCTTTCAGGGAGATGCTGAAGAAGTACTACATTGGCGACCTGGCCGCTGCTGATAGAGTCAAGAAGAGTCCAATTAGGTGAGAGTCCCGTCCGGGTTTAAGGTTTAAGGTTTAAGGTCACCATCCATCTGTAAATAAAGAATCCTTGCCCTGCCCTCCTCATTATATTCCTGATAAGACACTATTTCATCATCATTCCTCCGAAATTTAGATATAAAATCACTCCACTTTTCGAATGCATGACGTATTTTCGACCGAAACCGGTTTTGCATGGTCATTTATTTCAGTAATCAATAGTCCATTAAGCATCGAACAATTAGCCAACTGTTATGTAATTTATTAACTGCCTGGAAGCCCCCAAAGTGTTCCGCTTGACGTGTCCTGAAAGTTATTTGAATGCTTTAACAGAATGGATAATCTATTACCAATACCAAAAGATATATAATATTAGTATTTCCCTTGGAAATTATGTGCTCTTCTTAGAGAATTACTATTCCCTTGTAAATATGGTTCTTTAAATGCTTAAACAGAATGGATAATCTATTACCAATACCAAAAGATATATAATATTAGTATTTCCCTTGGAAATGATGCGCTCTTAGAGAATTACTGCTTCCTTGCAAATAACTAGGTAACAAAAACGATTTGACCAAGAAACAATACTATGTTACTATTATTTTAAACCTTTCTAAAAGCCGCTTGTATAATACTTGTATTTTATAACAAAAATCACCTGCCTCTTCCAAGATTTAAGTCGTTCTCAAGCACGAAAATAAGGTTCTACAAGAGCTAGTTGGATTCGTAAGTCCCGATTGACATCCTGTAAATATCCCATATGTAATTTCACAAATAACCAAAGCACGTAAAGCACCTGGAACTTAATCTGGTATTTTGGAAAACAATCAATGCACGCTGTAATTTTCCACCTCGTTTCTCGATTAGTTTCTATTCTGAATTGCCTTTTTATTTTGATTGATAGTGCCACGCCCACCACAGAAGCCGCCGCCCCCAAGCAATGCTGCATCTTAAATTAACCCCTATTAATCCGAAAAACCTGCTAATTAACCAAAGTGTCCTTAGTTTGGTCGATGGAAACTAGTTTTCGGGACTGTTCTCAATGTTTTTCACCCCATATATTCGATATATTCTTATTTTCCAAAATAGCTGCCGTCATATTGCCTTGGCTCTGGGCGCCGCCGCAATTGGAATCGCGCTGGTCTATGTGATCCGACGCGGAGTGGCCAGGAATTAATCCGTGGCCGGGGGACCCGAAAGCCAGCTTCATTCCGTGATTACAGAGATATTTTTCCAACTCAATAGATCATTTTCCAAACATTTGATACGAAATAAACTGTACAAATTGCTTAAACAAACGATTCTAGAATTTTATTTGGGGCGGGGAAAATAAATGGAAATTTATACAAAAGAAGGTAAAAAAATATAAATATAACAACTAACTTTAAAGAACTTTTACTTTGATATCGTATTTAAGGTCTGGAACACGTTTTTAATCGCAATGATACGCGAATTAAATCCCCGAAAGTAAGAACAACTCCGATTTCTGGTCAGAAAAAAACGATTCTAGAATTATATTTAGGGCGGGAAAGAAATAAAAAATAATACAAAAAAATATTTGAAAAATATACAAAAGAAAGGGTAAAAAATATAGATATAATAACTAATTTTAAACTTATACTTTCATATCGTTTTTCAGGTCTGGAACACTTTTTCAATCGCAATAATACGCGAATTCTTTAGGTCTCTTAATAAAATACATTCAAAAATCCCCGAAAGTAAGAACAACTCGGATTTCTGGTCAGAAAAAATTCAAATTTATTTTGTCGTCCTTCCGTCGTCACAAACCTGATTGCTCCTCTTCCTGCCATCCCAGCTCCTCCGGGTCCCTCGGATGAACTTCGATTATATGTAGGATATATATATATAGGTATATATATATGTACCGCGAATCAGTTAAAGACTGGCTCTTAAACGTAAATATCGTTGAGGATCAATGCGAAATCGCACTGCAACTTTCTAAGATTAATGCAACTGCTTCTCCGCCAGCTGCGCATGTTTCTGTTTCTTCTTTCTTTCTGTTTTATTATTATTGTAGGCTGTTCTGTTCGGTTCTGTTCTGTTCTCGACTTGTAGTTTGTTGTTTTTTTTAGTTTAGTTTATGTGTTTAGCATAGGGTTTCGTTAGTTCTCGTCGTACAGGGGCGTGGCATCGCCCAGATTCATGGAGTGGGGTGAGGTGTTGGTGCGTGGAGTGCTGCGCACGGATGCCTTTGAGGACATGGATGAGGATCCGCCGCCGCCAGGTGGTCCGTGGCCTTGGTTCATGCCCATTCCCATTCCCATTCCTCGATTGTGTCCGCTGTTGTAGTCGTTTCCAGGCGTCGATCCATAGCCTCCTCCTCCTCCGCCTCCTCCCATTCCCATGTTCATGCCCATTCCCATGTTCATGTTCATGCCCATCTGCTGCTGCGGATGATGATGCTGCTGATGATGCTGCTGCGGCGGTGGCCTGCGTCTTGCCCAGGCATCGTTGGCCAGCTGCCAGTCGAGGTTCTCTTTGGCACGTTGCTGGTGATGCGGCGGCATGTTGTAGGCATTGGAACCGCCAACTCCTCCTCCACCGCCTCCACCTCCTCCCATATCATAATATCTAGGTGTGCTGCCCGTGCCGGAACTGCTGCCGTAGTGATGCCGCTGGCTGCTCGACGACTGCGAGCTGGGACTCGGCACATTGTGGCCGTAGCGCGGCGTCTGCGAGGCATGCGGCGTGTAGGGCGTCATGAAGGGCGTCTGTCCGCTGGGCGTGTAAGGTGTATTGATGATGGCCCCGAAGGAAGGCGTCGATGAACTGCCATAATGCGAGGCAGCAGCCGCAGCAGCAGGAGCTCCGCCTGAGGAGGAGCTATAGCCCACAATGGAATGCGATACGGAGTAGGCAGAGGAGGATCCTCCACCACCGGAACTGCTAATCCCGCTGCGTGGCGTGCCGCCCGTCACGCTGCCCGTAATGCTGTACGGCGCCTGGGAGCCCAGCGAGGAGGAGGAGCCGCCGCCGGCGGCGGAGGAGGACGAGGAGATGGCCGGCGGCGGACGCATCGCATGGAGCAGGGGCGTTGAATTCGAGGCCGTGGATCCAGTGGCCGGCGAGGCCGTGGGATCCAGCCAGTGCTCCTTAAACCATCTCAACAAACTGTTGACCGAATCAAAGATTTGTCCCCTAAAACGATAGCCCTCGGGCATCACGGTCACATATTCGTGACGCACCTTTGTCTTGGGCAGATAGGAGAGCAGGAATTTGCCCGGCATGCTGCGCGAGGCGGTGAAGAAGTAGTGTATCTTCTTGGGATCTAAGCTCTTCTCATCGCGCAGCACCTGTTCCATAAAGTCCCGCTCATTCGCATTCGCAGCCGCCGTATTGGGCTTATAGTACTTGTACTGTATCAGTTCGCGGGCAGCCAAAGCCATTGGGTTGATGTGACGGGCGATGATCTCGTCCAGATCCTCAAACTCCTCGGTGCCAATCCATAAACTCCTTCCCAAACTATAGTCATTCTCCTTGCCCTCCTCGCGCACATCGATGTGCTGGAAGATGTCGTCGGCCACCTTCCAGGTGGCTGTCAAGTGATCCTTGGACTTGCTGCTCGGTCGCAGGGCTACCTCTCCCTGATCCGCCTCCGCTAGCATTGCGACCACCTCGGCATACGACTTGTTGAAGAAGCTGGGATGCGCGATGACACGACGGGCGTAGGTCTTTCGCTTCAACGCCTTCGCCTTGGCATCGCTGGCCTTGCGATTGTCCTGCTCCTCGGTGACAAAGTCGTAGAAGTTATCCCTTCGCGGCCGCCACTCGTTATTCACATCCTTCAGATCCGCCGTCTTCGAGGAGCAGTCGACGGAGAACCGATCAATGTCGATCTTAATGATGCGCACATGGATCATCTGGGAGACGCGTACACGCTCCTCGGGATTGCGCACCTGCTTATCGGACAGATTCTTGATGTGTATAAAGCCCGGAAGGCCATTCTCCAGACGCACTCTCACTCCAGAAGCCTGACCGGGACAGGCATTGGCATCAAAGTGATTCCACACCTCCGAGAGCTCGGGAAAGTCATCCTTGTGGCAGAAGGGACACTGCCAGCTGTCGCTCGACTCGATTCGCACCGGATTCGCATTGTCCAGCTGCTCGCCTTGCGGACGACGATAGGTAAAGCCTGTCACCATGGCTGTTACACATTTTCCAACATAGAACGAGTCCGGCGTCTCCTTGGTCAGCATGTCGAAGAGCTCCTCTGCACTCGGTTTGGTATACGGCGTTCGGTAGTCCTTGTACAGGCAGCTCAACTCGTTCCTGATGTCGTACAGTGTGATGCTCTTGCTGCCGAAACCCTGACGCTCCAACTCCACTGCGAAAGCATCCAGATCGAGATCCTTGAGGCGCTCCGGTGACTCTAGAATCTCCTCGAGCGCCCCCGCCGGATTGGTCTCCTCGTCGTCGTACTCCATCGCATCGATGGCCATCTTTCTGGCCCACTCGTAAGTCTCCGGGTGGACTCGCGATCCATCTAGCACCTCCACATACGCCTCCGTGCTGTCGCCCAGCGACGAGGTGTCAATCTTGATGAAGCCACTGCAATTGATAAAGACTTTCGGACCCAAATGGCAGACGGTGACCAGCTGTGTGCGATTCTCCAGCCGCTGGTTGCTCTGCTTGAGCAGTTTGAGCAAAGCCTGCCCTTTGCGCGGTCCCAAACCGCAGGTGTACTGCAGCAGGTTGACCGTCCGCGAGTTCTGCACCATTAGATTAATGTCGAGGCCCACTTCGCTCGTCCGATTGATGAACTGCAGGCTCAGCTGCTCCAGCAGCTGCTCGCGTGGCACTCGCTCCTGCAGCGGATGATAGCGCAGGCAGAGAATCTCATCGTCGGCGTCGCACAGTTGCGAGTATTCCACCAGCGGATCCTGCATTTTGCGGGCCAGGGAAACAGCCTGTTTTAGCAACGCAGGATACTCCTTGAAATCCGACTCGCCCTTCTTCGAATTCGCATAGATCTTGGCCAGCTCGTTGTCGATGATCTCCACCTCGATGGGCGGAAACTGTTCGGCCGAAACGAGCTCCTGCAGTATCTCCTTGATGTCCGTCTGAATGTTCTGCGCATCGCGCGATTCAGCGCCAATTACCACAATATGCGGCTTTTTCATCTTGATAAAGTCACTTAGCTTGCGCAGATCGGCCAATTTCTGGGCCTTCTCCTCGGCATTGTGCGAATTCTTGCGCTTGAGGATATTCGGCAGTCGCAGGTAGTCCGAGATGTCGCCCTCGACGGTCGTGACGGCGCAAAAGGCGGCCACCGATTGGTCGGGATCGTAGGCTAAGGATAATACCCTTATGCCCCTCAGTGTGCTCCACTCCTCGTAGCCATAGTCCGTGGGCAACTCCGGCTTATAGGGCGCCACTTTCAGCCATTTATAAAGCTTCCCCGTGCAGGAACGCAGCACAAACTGCTGCGCCTCCTCGTGCAGCGTGGAGCGCAGCTCCTTGATCAGATCCGGAATGACCCACTTCTGCAGCGCCAGCTTAACGCACTCCGCACGCAAGGCATTCCACTCCAGAACATGCTTAGAGAACTGATCCAAATGGTACAAAGCCTTCGATTCCTCCACATAATCGCCCGGTGGCCCATTGGCATTGGCATTGCCCTCGAATTCCTCGAGGAACGTGATCTCCAGCAGCTTCTCCTCCTCGGCCATCATCAGTTTGATGAACTGATCGCCAAATAGATCGCCCACCGGCTTCTTGGCCACATATTTCATGGAGTAAACGGGTGAATTCTCATCGATAAGCACCATTCCATTCTTAGTGGGTCTTATATTCAAACGCGCTCGATCGAAGTAAACCTCGCGCATCGTTTTGCGGAGCAGGGGCTCCTGGGCGAGCTGGCGGGCCACCACATACTTGGCCGCATGCAGCACCTCGTCGGTGGTCATGAAGCGAGGCGATAGATACTGCTTGGCCAGCTCCGTGGGACCGAGACTCTCCTGGGTGACCTCGTTGCGCTGATAATTGTCGCGCAGATTCTCGGCAAACTGCTCGGGCGTGAGGCCAAAGTGCTTGGCAAAGCCACAGATGCCCGCCTTGCGGAAAACCGCATAGGGACTGCTATTAGGCGCCTGCTTCAGCTGGTCGTCGATTAGCTCTGGATCGTCTTCATCCTCCTCCGGCTCGGGAATCACTATGGCTGCACTCTCATCGCCATCGCCGTTCTCAGCGGAAGCAGCTGCGGTGGCTTGGCGACGCGCCTTGGCCTCGCGACGCTCCTGAATGACCTTACGCCGCTGCTCCGCCTGCATGCGCGGCAATTCATGCGAATAGTTGAGCAGAAAGTACATATGCACATCCTTCAGCTCCTCCATCGACTGCACATCGTCCAGCCGCTCGAAATCGCTGTCCAGCATTAGGCGCACATCATCGGGAATGGGTTTCTCCGGATCGGCGCACAGTGTGTCCAACTGGAACTGGCGCATCTTCTCGAAGAGCACCTTTAGCTTGCGCTTACGCTCGTTTAGCTGGCACCAGCGCTCGTCGTAGTAGTAAACCTTCCACAGATCATCGATATTCAGCTCCGGCTTGACATACTCCTTGCGATAGAAGGCTATGAAGGGCACCTCCAGCTGCTGGTTGCGTATGAATTCGAGCGTCTGCTTGATTTTGTTCACCGCCGTCGGCGGTTTGCGCAATTTCTCGCGATTCTCGGCCTTCTCCTGCTCGGAAACGGTCTGTTTGCAGAACGCATACTTGTAGATCCAATCGGCCTCGAGGTCTAGCTCATGGGAACCCTCGGGCACTGGGGTTACGGGCACCTGGCGCAGCTGCATGCGCTCCGGTATGTCCGTCTTGCGGATCTCGTTGTCCATGTCGGTGAAGTGGCCGCGCTTCAGTTCGCTCGGCTCGTATATGTCGAAGATTGTCTTCTTGGCCACCTTCTTTTTCAAAGCCTTCTTCTTTTTCACGCGCATATCATCGCCGGCGCCGAGCTCCTCGTCGTATTCATCGCCCTCGGAGTCGTCCTCGTACTCATCCTCCTCGTACTTGGAGAAATCGTCGTAGTCAAAGTCCACGCCAAAGATGTCCTGGCCCTCTTGCAGGGAACTAAATGGGAATTTGAGGTAATTTCAATGGATCTATCAAGTAGTTTGGTTAAACTTACGCATCTGTAAAGATGGGACGACGCTTCTTTTTCTTCTCGGCTATGGGACGCCCATTGTCGTCCACTATGAAATCATCCGCATCCGATTCCGAGTCCTCCTCGTCGAAGGCATCCGCCTCCCGGGGACTTCGCTCGCTGCGATGCTCAACGCTCTGCAGGATTAGATGATTAGTTTGGTCTGTAGGTTATAGGTTACTGGCTACTACCTCGTCGTTCTCGTCGAACAGCTGCTCGGCGATCTGCTCCCGGGCAAGACCCTCGTCCACGTGCTGCTCCTCGCCATCGCTTTCGTTGTCGTGGATGCGACGCAGGCGCTTGAACCGCTTCTGCAAGGGTAGATAGTGATGAATAGTTGTCCCCAATTCTGTAGAGCTCTCTTTTAAGGGTTTCTTATGATTCTTACGACCTTTTACAAGAAAATCGTGAAATATTTCGAAATAAAATATACTTTTTATTGTTCTTAAAAGGAAATCATAGGAAACACCTTACTATATATGATTCTATCCATCTTTTACAAGTGAATCTTTATATATTTCGAAATAAAACATACGGTTTCTTGGTTCTTAAAAGGAAATTCTTATGATTCTATCGATATTTTACAAGGGAATCGTGAAATATTTCGAATTAAAACATATGATTTTATGTTCTTAAATGGAAATCATAGGAAACACCTCAGTATATATGATTCTAACGATATTTTTGAAGTGAATCCTTATATATTTCGAAATAAAACATACGTTTCTTTAGTTCTTAAAAGGAAATCATAGGAAACACCTCAATATAGCATAATATTCTTCCATAGATTATAAGAATATTTAATAGATCATATAATAATCCCTTCAAAAAAACACCTACCCGTCTCTCTACTTTGACGCCCAAGTTCTCCTCAATCAGATCGTAGTCGTCGTCCTCCAGCCGATCGTCCAGATCGTCGTCCTCGTGCTTTTTGCGCTTCTTGCCGCTGCCGCCGCCTTCGGTCTCGCCACCGCTCTTGGTGTCCGAGTCATCGCCGCTGCCGTCATCCTCCTCGATGGGATTGTCGTCGATCAGATCCTTGAGCTCCTCGCGCAGGCGCTCCTCGTCATCTGTGGAAAATAATAAATACTTAAAATGGATTTCTGAGTTCTGAATATATGGCAATTTTCATTACATAGTTTTATATGATGTAAGATTTCGGTTTGAAAAGAAGTTAGGATAGATATAGCATTTTTCTACATGTTAAAACACGTCCGATTTTGGTCCCTCAAGGAGTTATAATGAGATGTCTGTTTATGATGAAATTCGAACGAAGGAACTGGAATTTCCTTTGATTATTCCAGTCTCTCGAGATCGTTTCCCCCATTATTTGGAAATTCTCTGGGAAAAGCGGCGTTCTTCCAATTCGCCGCACTTGTTCCATTTTCCACTTACTGGAACGATTGTTGTTGTTGCTGCTCCATGGCCACGGTAGCAGTAGCACGGTAAAAACACAAGACCTAACCTCAAAGTTGTAAACAAAAGTGCAGAACCCGAGTTTTAGGAGGCATTATCCCCAACTTGCCGATGCAGCGAGGGGAGGGGAGTGGGGAGGGGGAAAAGCCCGCCAGCGATCACCACTACACACACACACTTTGTTTTTGTACGCGCGCTCTTGGCGGCTGGAAAAACTCACCTTCTTCTTCTTCGCTGCTGTCCGAGACGGCGGCTTTCAGCTTCTTGAGCTTCTTGCGCTCGTTCACGTCCAATTCTTCCTCCTCCTGCGGGAAAAACGGAACAAGGAAAAGTCATTAGATTTGCGGAAAAGTGCAATCTATATATTATAGTACATATATATATTTGCACGCAACGCGCACCGCACACATATACATACATATACACACAGTATGCGCGCCTACAAACAGCAAAAAAAAAAAAAGAAAACGCAACGCGAGAAATACTTGCACTTGCTACACACATACCTCCGATTCCTCGGCCTCGGAGTCCAGAAATTCGGCCATCACAATAAATTAAACAATTAAACTATAGGCTTAAAAACGAATCTAACTAAAAGTAATGCACAAAAAACGTCGCTTGCAGAGTCACAATAAAAAAAACCAAGAAGTGTCAAATAGAGCTGGATGTTTATTCGATACTATCGATGGTGAGAGCGATCTGGCAGCATTGCTGCTTGCAACCGATAAGCTATGTCATCGACCGTTCCTTATTTCAAGTGTTATCGAATTTGTAAGATGACCAGTAATTAAATGGGCATTAAAAATTGTAAGAATTGGTACAAAACAGAATAATAAATTAATGTAACATAAACATAACACTAATATAACATTTTGTAAAATTAAATTTATGTGAACTAAGTTTTGTTATGTTTGGTTGACTTTTATTGATCGAAAATTGGTCGAAAATCCATATTTTCACCGTACAATATCAGAATTTCGGCCATAACAATTGGAATAATGATCCAAATATGACGTGTCATACCTCGCTGAGCTCGTAATTAAATTCCCAATCGATTGGTATTTAAACCTGGACATTTTATTTTTTTGTCATTTTTCGCAAAAAATCATGATGTACCCCCTATAAAAAATTTGAAAATGGGCGAAAATTTGATTTTTTCAAGATCACCCGGAAAGTGTTATGGATTTACTTATTATTTAGTTATCTGTTCAAAACTGTATGTATTTTTGGTGTAGGACCATTTTTGGCCAAGTTACAGCAAAAAAACAAACAGAAAAAATTCAAATTTTTACCAAAAACTCAGATTCTAATTTTCCACAAAAAATAATTAGTTATTTGACCGTAACAATGAAAATATTGATCCAAATATGGATTGTCATACCTTTCTGAACTCGTTATTAAATTTCCAATCGATTGGCATTCAAACTTGGACATTTTATTTTTTTTTAATTTATTGTACATGTCCGAGATTAACTGATTTTTTGAATTTAGGGGGAAAACTGAATTTTCTAGGGGGAAATATCGACTGTTTGGGATTTTTTAGGGGGAAAGCTAAATCTGGCTCATCTGGCAACACTGACGTTCAACCACCTCTGCAGTTACATTTCTAACTCCGCCGGCTCTGGGCACACTCGCATATTAAAAAAATTAGTATTTTTTTTTCGTTCATCCTGAAAGTGCTAGTGGACGCCCACTCGATCCCCATTCCCGAAATTCTGAAGTGTATTTTGGCCCGGCCCCAGGAACGGAACGGAACGGTTTCTCCAGTAAACAACACACAACTTAAACACTCTCCCTTTCGAGGCGGCACGAATAGCATAGCAAATACAACCTGCATAGAGAGACACAACAACAACAATTCAATATTCGGCGGTTTGTTTTTTGCCAGTGTGTGTGTGAGTGTGTTGTGCGAGTGTGTGTATGAGCCGCGGCCCGGTGCTCCGGTTGTTGTTGTTGTTGCTGTTCCAAGGAGCAGAAAGAACACATAAATAAATATACCAAAAATATACATACATATATATATTTATGTGACAAGACAACAAACGCCAGGGAAAAACTGGAAAGGAAAGGAAAGCCGAGCGAAAACAATTGAGAAATTAAGGCAGCAGCAGGAAAAGGCAAAGGAAACGGAAAAGGAACCGGAAAGATGGATCTAATCAATAAGTTCAGCGATGCATTCTGGAGTACGCAAATTTGGCTGCCGCCGAACACGACCTGGGCGGACATAGCGCCCGGTTCGCGGCAGGATGTGGTGCACGCCAACTACAAGGACCTCATCTGGCCCATTCCATTCGCCGCTGTCGTCATGCTGGTCCGCTACACGCTGGAGCGGTGAGTTTTCCTTCCCTTTCCCGATTCTCGATTTCCTTCCCGGCAACTCTATTCCATTCGCCTCTCTTTAACCCCATTCATTCCCCCTCTCCCTCTCCCACTCTCTCTCTCGCTCTCCCCACCCACGTTTGTTGCACCATGTACAGTAAACTTTATTCATAATTTCTGTTTTTTTTTTTTCGACAAACATAACCTCACGTGGAAACGCCCAACATTCTGCAAGCGTATATGTACATATGTATGGGTGAGGCGGCGCACACGCGTGTTGTTCTTGTTGTTGTTGTTGTTGCAACTCTAAGTTTTCCCTTCCAAGAGACGCCGGCTGCAGTTTCCATTTCCAGTCAGCCGGTTATGAATTTCCCACAAAATAAATTCATCCCCTTCCCCCTCCACTTGCGAGTTCTTACTAATTGTTTAGTTAAAGGGAAAACATACACTACTGGTCAAAAGAATAAGTACACACGTTACACCCTCACTTGCTAAGAGATATCTCTATAGGTTTTGAGGCCAGACCTCCCAAACCTTTTTATTTGGAAAGGTTATTCTGTTCTGCAATATTTAAATAAACAATGGATACAGTAAAACCTGCCTAATCCATGTTAGCCCTACATTTGTGCGATAGGTCGGTTTTGGTGTGGTCAAAATAATAAGTACACTTGTGTTACTTATAAATTTTAAAATATTAAATCTAGAATGGGGCTACGGTTAGTATTTTATCTTAAGTTAGGATCATGTTTATAAGAAGTCTGGGCCAATTGGACGATCCAAAAAGTTTCCAAGCCTGGATTTGGTTATTTCAAAGTCATCATCCATGCTAAAATCTGATTTGCAGCTTAAAAGGAACACTTAACACTTAAGTATGGCTTGTGATTCCCTAAAATTTCCTTAAAAATACTACTCTGAATAAATAAAATCGATTTAGAAAAAAATGAGTACTTACACCGTAAAAAATAAGGAAAAAGGGGAAATAAATAAGAAAAAACCAAAGTTACATGCGGTTTTAATTAAAAAAAAATAGTTAAATTTTAAATTCTTAATTTTTTTATTTTTATTTTGATAGTAGATAAAACGACTAAAAAAATGAGATATGTTTCATAAAGATCGGTCAACAAATTATTAAATGGCTGTTGACGATGTGCACGATAACAAAACTGCTATATCGTTAAAAACGAATTTCATACAAACTTGTATGGACGGGGAATTTGTATTTATGTATAGATATCTAGCGTTGTGCGATTCATGTAGTACGGTTTAAGTTGTTTACCGATCTTAATGAAACATATCTCATTTTTTTAGTCGTTTTATCTACTATCAAAATAAAAATAAAAAAATTAAGAATTTAAAATTTAACTATTTTTTTTTAATTAAAACCGCATGTAACTTTGGTTTTTTCTTATTTATTTCCCCTTTTTCCTTATTTTTTACGGTGTAAGTACTCATTTTTTTCTAAATCGATTTTATTTATTCAGTGTAGTATTTTTAAGGAAATTTTAGGGAATCACAAGCCATACTTAAGTGTTAAGTGTTCCTTTTAAGCTGCAAATCAGATTTTAGCATGGATGATGACTTTGAAATAACCAAATCCAGGCTTGGAAACTTTTTGGATCGTCCAATTGGCCCAGACTTCTTATAAACATGATCCTAACTTAAGATAAAATACTAACCGTAGCCCCATTCTAGATTTAATATTTTAAAATTTATAAGTAACACAAGTGTACTTATTATTTTGACCACACCAAAACCGACCTATCGCACAAATGTAGGGCTAACATGGATTAGGCAGGTTTTACTGTATCCATTGTTTATTTAAATATTGCAGAACAGAATAACCTTTCCAAATAAAAAGGTTTGGGAGGTCTGGCCTCAATAACTATAGAGATATCTCTTAGCAAGTGAGGGTGTAACGTGTGTACTTATTCTTTTGACCAGTAGTGTATATGTATGTTCATATGTGTGTATATTTGTTTATAGTCGGCAACACCAGCTCCATGCGGTGTGTGTTTTTTTTATGGATATATGGATGTATGCACCAGTAAGGAAATGGGAACAAACTAGGAACAGTGGGGCAAAAGCTCTTTTTTTTGCAATATATTATATTTACTCAAAAAATTTATTTATTGAGATATTTATTATCTATAAAGATATATTTTTGTATGTTTAATTAATTTATCCTCTAAATCATATATTGATAAATGAAATATATGTATTTTAATTATTTTTATAATTTAGAATTCTCCTAAATAACACTTTTTTTTTGTGCTATTAACACTTTTTCAAGTCATTTTCCAGCCATAAATGTAGAACTGTGAACAGATTAACCTAAACTTGGTTAATTTTTTATGGTGTCGAACGACCTCGATAGAAATCCAACACTGATATTTATTGACTTGTCACTCCTAAACGATAAGAACTTTATGTTTACTCAAACTTTTGATCGATTTCAAGGAAAACCTCAACACCACTTCTGCAGAAGCAAAGCCCAACATCTGAAACCCTATCTGAAAAAAAAACTTTTCCACTTTATGCACTTGCAAAGTAAATATTAGTATAGCGAATCTAGATAGGATTATTTCTAATTGAATTGTACGAAAATATGTCAGTAATTCTCTTACATTAAGATTTTTCGAGATAAGATAAATTATCTTTGGACACTTGACCCATTTAAAAAAATCTAATTTTTCTAAGATTAGATAAATATTTTTCAATGTAACTAGTATTTAAAAAAATATTAAAAATAAAAAATTGTAGTTAATGTTAATGTTTATTGTTTGCTGAATACACGATTATATGATACTCAGCTTAAAGTTTATAAAAAGACGACTGTACTTGGGACCAATTCTAAGTAATTTCTAAGTGGATAGTAAAAAGCTAATTACATCTCTACTTTATTTCACACAAAAGTGAATTTCAAGTGCGAAAGTGTTTCAAAACTTGCCATGAATTCCCATGACTCTTGACCCACTGTGGGCCAATAGCATTTTGGCCGCTTTTCAGGCCAATTAACCTGAGCGTCGTTTGGCTTCAAATATATGTATGTGCACACACATGTGGCTGTGAATTTGTGGTTGTTGTTTGCCGTTCGTGTGTGCGGATTGCGTGCACCAGCATTTGCATGTAAAAAAGTTGTAATTCTCATATTTTTGCAATGTTTTTGGTGCCCTTAATTTGGCATAAATTGCAAATAGAGCCTAGTGGACCGATGCCCCTAAAAAAGAGACAAAATAGTGCATATATCAAGTGAGACAAAAATACAGTAAAGCTTGAATAATGTTTAACAGAAAAAATATTTTTCTCTTTTTCTATATATTTAAAAAAACCCATTTAAAAGTTTTTCTTTTTAAAATCTTAGCTAGATATTTTTAGAAAAACCTATCAAGTTCAACTTGCCGAGTTTCCACTGTGCTCTTTGGTTTTCATTCCATTTTCTGCTCTTTTTCGGTGGCTCTTTTGCATTCGAGTTTGAAAATGAGACAAAAACCAAATCTGTTTCATGGCGGACCACTTTAGTTTTTGTATTTCTTCTCTTCTGCCTTCTTAAACGAGAATTGGTCTTCAAGGTCGAATTGGAATTTTTTTTTGGACGCGTCTCTCTATTAACATTCATTTAATGGCAAAAGTCGCAGTCCGATTCATCACGATTCGATGGGATTGAGTTCTCCGAGAGACCCCTCCCAAAGTGCTATCCACAGTGGCCATAATGGAACCACCTTGGGCATTACTAGCACCACCGATACCGCCACTCCACTCCACTCCATAGAACAGCACAGTACAGCCCTGCCCCGATAAGATTTGTGCCAAGATTTACGTATAAAACCTGATAGCAATGCCTCAGTCCCTCGATTGTTTTACGCCGAACTCTCGAATGACTGTTCCCATTGAGGGTGTGTGGGTACAGCAGGGACAGGGGCGTGGGTATAAAATTGGGAGGGGTGCTGGTTTTTTTTCAGTAGGTGTGTTAATAACACTTAATTGGGTTAAAAGGGTGCATTTCAACGGAAATAAGGAACAAATAAAAGAATCTCCAAACGCGAATTCTTTATGTTTTTTGTTGGTTAATAAGAAACTCGCCAAAATAGCCCATTCACTGTCTTGAGATTAACCATAACTCTTCTATGTGTTTGCTTAAGGCAAAGATAAGTAACTATCTTATATTTATTCTGCATGTACTTTTTCCTATACTATCTGAGTCCATGATTCGTCAACCGTTTTTCTTTTGCGGGCCTGGCCAAAATCACTTGGCCAGCCAGTGAGTCATTGACTCGAGAAGTTTTTCCAAATATGTGCGCACTTTATGGCCCGATTGGCGCTTCCCTTATGGCCAGTATACTATTACTATTACTATTACTATTCCTATGCCAGATACAAACACGCTTTGGAATGTTGTGGGCATTGGATTGGGGTTTATGTTTATGTTTATGCTGGGGAGGGAAGAACTAAAACAATTCAAACAGTTGCGGCTAAACAGATAGTACTTGGTTTAAAAAAATAGCAATTATTTTAAAGAAATTTTCTAACAAATCTTTACTATTCAAGAAAAACTTTTGCCAAATGGGAACAGGAAGGAACCTATAACTGTTTTCATTTAAGTTTCAGATAAGATAAATGTATCCATTTTTACTATCATACCTTAAACTTTTTTGTTAAGCGGAAATTACTTTTACTTTTCTAGAGTTAATCTAGAATATTACATATTTTAAGGCATATAAGTACAATTCAATAGCCCTAAACCTTCCCGGTATTTCCAAACTTTCCTAGATTAAAGATATAGATATAGTTCAAGTGGGATTTATGAGTGCTATTTTGTTGGGCGCAGCTGTGTGTGGGGCATGTACTATTTGTCCGCATTTATGCTGAAGCTTTTGTGATACGTAATCGCCAAGAGGCGACCCTCGAGCTTCAGCGCTCTAGTGCGATAAAATTTCAGGTTAATTATTTTAATGGCTCACATGCACACAGCAATCGGATAGTGGGGGTATATGTATATATATATACCAAATAAACGTAGAGAATCGCCGGCAAATGGGTAGTTGCTTCTCCATTTCTCCATCTACCTCTTTATCACCGCGAGAAACTCTAGATTGGCAATAGAATTTCTTAGAACAACAATCCCAAAAACCCAAAAACCGATCCGTAAACCCGTTTCCAAAACTTTTCCCCGTTTCTTTGCCAACGCGGTCGGTCAGTCGAATTGCTTATCGTGCCGATTGCCCAATGGTAATGGTAAAAAAAAAAACAAAATGCCATAAAAACCAAAAAAGAAAAGAATATAAAAAACGCACGTGCTTTACGCACCAGCTGAGAATGGAAATAGGAATGGGAATAAAAATGCCTGGTCAGGTGGTACTCCATTTTTCAGGGGAGAGCGGATTTCGACTTAATGCCAGTGCAATTCGTTAAATGCCCAATTAGCACCTCTCATTCCTCGTTTCTCACAACATTTCTGGGGGAAAAAGATAATACTAGCCTTTAGAAATGAAACATAGTTCTTTAGAACTCTGACTTATGATTTTGTGGGAATTTTCTTAAAAAAATCTTATATCGGAAATGAATAATAATATCCGACAAAAGATTACGATTATCGCTTCCTTTTCAGCTTGGGCACTTGAGAAACTGGAATTACTAATTTCTAACCCTAAACCCAGCGATAAGTGTAATTTCTGCTTAAAATTCATGTCTTAAGTTCACGAACCGCAGATTGCAGGAGGGATCGTAAAGCAAATTTGGAAATATAGAGCATGCTATAAAGATTAGAACCGCAGCCAGGGCGATCAATTAGTCGCTGACTAATGGCGCTTATGCTAAATTCCATCTGGCCATGAGTCAGAAGACTCCAAAAGTCGGGCCACATATGTGTGTTTATATATAGGATATAGCATATAGCACTTACTTGCGCTAATCGCACAATCGCCGGCTTTTGCCTTGCCTTGCGTGTTGTATTATCGCCGGACAAGCGCAAATAATTCGCCAAACAACAGAACAACAGGCGACATATGTACTATATGTATATTTTTCGTATATTCCCCCATACACAGTGGGCTCCAAAATTTTAGTTGTTACGCCGATAAGACCCGAATAATTGCCAGTACATTGCACTTTGGGCGCGATATTTGCACATTGCCAATGCCTAAGTGAAATTTAATAATAAACGGGGGGCGCATTCTTATCGCAAACTGTCATCGAGCTGCAGCTCGAATCAAAACACATTCATTATTCGCACGAAGCGAAACCAATTTGATAATCGACATCTAGCGTTTTAACGGAAAATGCAGCTCTCCAATTGCCTTAAAACGATTGGTGCTTAATTTTAAAATGGCTAAATGGGTCTTGAACTATGAATCATAGTTGATGGTCTTAGCAATGGGTAACAAAAAGTCGAACTTTTTAAGACTACAATTTAATAATCGACATCTAGCGTTTTTACGGAAAATGCAGCTCTCCAATTGCCTTAAAACGATTGGTGCTTAATTTTAAGTCTCTAACTATAAATAATAATTGAGATGGTCTTTGAAGAGGGGAAACAAATAGTCGAATTTCTTTAAGACTATAATTTGATAATCGACATCTAGCATAATGCAGCTTTACAATTGTCTTACAACGATTGGTGCTTCATTTTAATATTATTAATAATAGAGAAGGTCTAAGAAATGGGTAACAAGTAGTCGACTACAATTTGAGTTTAAAAATAATCGAATACAATAGTTTTTTCTTTGGTTTTCTTTATTATAATCATAGTTGTGCTTCAATAAACGTGATCTTAATTCACAAAACTAACCATTTAAATGCGAAATAGGTTAAATACAAAAATTGCAACTTGAATTCTAGGGCACATTTCGGTTAGTTTCCAAAAAATCAAATGATTGAATAACTCCTGACATATTGTTAGTTGCACAGTGTACATTTTATTGCCATAACCATAACCATATAACCTATAATCTTAATCCCTGAACTGCGGCAGCAGCCAACGCTGCTTGGAGTCCTTCTCCTGCTGCTGCTTCTGCTGCATCTGCTCCTCCTCGTTGAGGACCAGGAACAGCTCGTGGTCCGTCTGCAGATGGCTGGAGAGGAACGCGAGGAAGCTCTCCTCGTCGCCGAGGCAACGGGGCTCCCGCAGCTTGGAGTCCAGATTGTAGTAGCTGCCATCGATGCGACGCAGGGCCAGCCAGTGGCGCATCTGGAAGGGCAATTGGATGTAGTAGCCGAGGTTCATTTGTGCCGGCACGTTCAGGATGAACCCAAAGATGGCCTTGAGATTGAGGCAATGGGGATCCCGTCGGCGATCGAACCACACAGCCTCGCAATTCCGCTGCTGCAAGGCGTACATAATCACATTCACATCGTAGTTGCCCCAGCCGATCCACGAGCGATGCGGATTCAGCCAGTTGCGCGGGGTCAGTGTGGTGCAGTAGTGGTCCAGTTCCGACTTGGAGAACATGTCGGGGCTCTGGAACAGGTTGTTCAAGGCGTGCAGGCCGCACAAATGCCGAGTCTGTCTCTCGTGGTAGATGGAGGATTCCTGGTTTCCCTGCTGCATCATTGTGCCGTTTCCATTTCCATTTCCGTTGTTTGGGTTCTTGTTTGCCAGTGTCCCAGAACTGGGATTTTCCATTTCGCAGCTGTATAGGCTGACAGATTCCAGTAACTGATTGAGCTGGGCAGCTGGGAAATGTCACTAGATTTAATAATTTGCCTTTTTGTTTACAAAAAACTTAGGACTCGATTTTGCTTTTAGGGATGGCAAGGCAATAGCGATGGCAAACTAGTATCGATAGCTGTGTGAAAAAGTTAAGCTCTGTTAGCTTGTGCGCATATCGATATTTTAGTAACGGTACTTGATTTAAAACGAAATTTAAGAGTTTCTATATAAGAGATATATAATAAGTCTAGGGATTTCTTAAAGTCCACTAACCACTAATCAATTTTAAAACTATCTCACATACCATAAAATTATAAAAAACAAACAGAAATTGCTATTTTAAATAGAAAACCCATAAATTATTTAAAGCTAAATGGTTTGAATAAATGGCATGAACTTTCCATAAGAAATGTTCCAATTATGAATGGTCTTTATCGCTGATAATAAAACTTACAGAGTGCGTCACTCTTAATGACGCACTCCCCACGTATTTTCGATAAAACTTGAATAGTCCAATTTATTTTTACACGCCCTGTGCTGACGCTGCCCCATGGACACGCACTTCTTTTAAAGAGAGAGACCCTCCAATTACCGGGTTGATTTCGTCTAACCCCTATGCATTGGAAAGCCATAACTTGTCAACGAGTTAGGAATAATATAAATCAATATCCGACAGCGAATGCGGGTCAATCAAATCCTTCACTCTGTGCGTTAATTGAATTACGTACGTACTACTACTTGAACTTGAACCGAACCCCCAGATTCGAAATTCGGAATTAATTCAAATTAATTGTTATAATTTTTCTATACTTCCATTGAAAATCTGATATTTCCGCGTCTCTTCTTTGGCTCAACGCCATGCGTTTTTTGCCTACGGAATGAGGGTTACTTCTCGAAAACCCACTTGGCATTCCAATTTCGATTTCATTGGCAAATTAACTTCCGAAATTAGATATAGTACATAGTATATCCATAGTATATGTAAGTCTGGCGTGTCCCCTTTTGGGCGGGCTAATTATCCATGCATGTGGGCGTGCGGTGAGCCCAAAAAACCCATCCCAAATCCAAATCCCAGTTGCCATGCTCCACACGTGCCAGACGTTGGGGCGACAACGACGACGACGACGACAGGTGTGTGTGCAAAATAAATATAAATAAAATAAAAAATAAAGTAAAATCATAAACAAAAAAATATCCAGAAACGTTTCCGCCATGGGTGTACATGCATACGTAGCTGAATAATTAGATTTGTGGTCGTCGTCAAGCCCAATGGAACTTTTATTGGACATGTTGTCAGGTTTCAGGGATAGGGAGTTCCAGGTTGCCAAGATTACAACCAGTTCCTGAATACTACATTATTTCTTATGCAATATTTTCCAGTTTATACTAAACCCGTTAAGGACATGTACCCAATTTTATCTGGCCAAACTTTATATGGCCTATAAACTTTTTAAAACCTGTGCCTCCAACAAACTGCTCTTTATCTACTCAAAAAACATAAAAAAAACTCTAAAAATAGCTCTTTCTAATAGAGCTGGCAAAAATATCGATATTTTGTTATTTCTCGATATTTAATTTGAATCTATATTGTCAAAATATCAAAAATATCGAAAGGATCGATAATTTTCAAGATCTACTTTCTAATAATGATCTCTCTAAAAATAGCTCTTTTTAATAGAGCTTGGGAAAATATCCGCAATTTCGCATTATTTAATTTGTGTTTTTCCTTCAAAGCATTGATAATATCGAATCAATATTGTCGAAATATCAAAAATATCGAAAATATCGATATTTTCAAGATCTTCTTTCTAATCATGATGTCTTTATCTATACCATTTGCAGTTTTTGGATATCGCCAATAGGCAAATCCCTGGGCATACGTAGTTCTAGACCCAAGAAAGCGGCAAATGTTCCTATTCTGGAGACGGCCTATGCCAAATCGACGCGATTGGACAACAAATGGGTGAGTGTGCGAGAGTCCAGAACTGAATCCCTATAACTAACTGATCCCTATGATCTTTCCCCCTTGCAGCTGGCTCCGCTGTCCAAGCAGACGGACATGAGCGAGCGCCAAATCGAGCGCTGGTGGCGCCTCCGAAGGGCCCAGGACAAACCGTCGACGCTGGTCAAGTTCTGTGAGAACACCTGGCGCTGCATCTACTACCTGTACAGCTTCATCTTTGGCGTGATTGTGCTGTGGGACAAGCCCTGGTTCTGGGATGTGAAGAGCTGCTGGTACGGCTACCCGCATCAGGTGAGGATCCTCTTAAAATCCTAATCAAGATTAGATAATAATTATAATCTTGTTCTGGTTTGCAGTCAATCAGCAACGACATCTGGTGGTACTACATGATTTCGATGTCCTTCTACTGGTCCCTCACCGGCACCCAGTTCTTCGATGTGAAACGCAAGGACTTCTGGCAGATGTTCATCCATCACATGGTCACCCTGCTGCTGATGTCGCTCAGCTGGGTCTGCAATCTGCATCGCGTCGGCTCGTTGGTCCTCGTTGTCCACGATTGTGCCGACATCTTCCTGGAGGCCGCCAAGCTGACCAAGTATGCCAACTACCAGAAGCTCTGCGACGCCATCTTTGCCATCTTCACGGTGGTCTGGATTGTGACGCGCCTGGGCTTCTATCCACGCATCATCTACAGGTGAGTAGTAGAGAGGTTAACCTTAATTCCTCCTGTTCTGATCCAAGCCAATCCAACCCAATATCCTGTTAACCCGGCAGCTCATCTGTGGAGGCCCCGCGCATTCTGCCCATGTTCCCAGCCTACTACATCTTCAACTCATTGCTTCTGATGCTGCTCGTCCTGCACGTCATCTGGACATATATGATTCTCAAGATCGTTGTCGACTCTCTGCAGAAGGGTCTGGTAAGTGTGGGAGGGCGCCTAGCTATATTCCCCTAACTGTGTCTTTGAACTCCTTAATGTTACCTGCTAACCTTTAAATATAGTTTAAATTTGTTCAGTCAATTTTTAAAGCTCTTTGAAAAATTTTAAAATACCTTATTTTGTATATATTAACACTTGAAAATATATATCTATGTGTAATGTTATAAAGTATTGCTTGATATTGATTTAATTAAGAAAATTTAGGTTTTCTATTCATTTTTCATCATATATTACCAGTTTTTTATTTAATGTATAAAATGCATATTTTCCATGTACCATATGTATAAGTCTATTATTTTTAAATATTTTCTTATAAGTGTAAATTAAGTAGAAAGTTCGAGGTTATTGTTTTACAAATTAGATGTGTATTGTTATAAAAATTTCTTGATAATTGGATGTTATATTTTTCAAATATTTTCTTACAAGTACCAGATTTGTATCAAAATTAAATAGAAAGTTCGAGGTTATTGTTTCAAAAATGAGTTGTAAAATATTTATAAAAATAATAATAGTTTATATTAATATAATACTTATAAGAGCTATTATTGTCTACATATAGAATTTAACTATGTTTATCCCTTTGCAGATGTCCGGTGACATACGTTCCAGTGATAGTGAGGATCTCACAGACAGTTCGGAGAATGCACGTCTGGCCAATGGCTCGGCGCGCTCCAAGAACAAGTCGAACAGCGGTGCGACGTCGGGAGGATCTGCAGCAGGAGCAGGAGCAGGTGGTGCCACCCAGCGCAAGTCCAACAATGCCAACAACCACACGACCGAGGCGGCAGGAGGAGCTGCGACAACGGCGGCCAAGTAGGCTGGGATGCGGGTGACTGGGAACGGAGGATGGAGGATGGAGGAGGAGCAGCCGGTGGCCACCAGTGGCTGAGCACAGCACCAGTACCACAGTACCATCACCAGTGGTAGTGGGCACATTTTCCGAGGGGCAGGAGCAACAACAACAGCAAAACAAACAAAATCAACACACACACACACACCCCACACCAACACCAACCCAAACACACACACACCCACACACACATAAAAAAAACCAAACCAGTTCAGAACGTTTTTATGTTAATTATTATTTTTTATATATAAATCATTTTTTTTAAGATAAACAAAAAAAGAGCAAAACGAAAACCAAAAGAAATTTCAATAAATGCGAGAAAATTTATGCGTAACGATCCACTTGTACATCGTTATCAATTAATATTTAATATATATATATATATATATTTATATATAAATATGCCTCACCGTTTTTTGTTGTTGTTTGTCTTGCTTAACCAAAAAAAAAAAAACAAGAACTAAATAAAAGAAAAGAATTAATGAAACAAGAAAATAACGTTAAAAGTAACCAATCTAAACGTAAAGCTAAAGTTAAGTTATTTTACCAAACGAAATGGAAGATAGCAGAGTGGGACTAAACCAAATTCGCTTAGACAAGAATTCAATAAACGAAGAGTAATGAGTAATGAAAAAAGAATAGTAGTCAAAACTATTGTAAATATTGTACTTGTATGTTTCCCATATTAATAAATTTATGCAAAACAAATTACAAGACCCAAGCAAAGTGTTTCGAAAACAAGAGGGATGGCATTATCGGGGGTTATATTGTGGAAAAATGATCAAAGGATCGGGAACCATTTAAAAAACAATCTTATTTGTATGCATTTCATTTGGAGCCTCAAGAATATCGCGAATTCTTCAGTTCAGAGGCACTTCAGCATCAGTGAAAGCTTATAGTTTTATAAATAAATAAGCTACTGATCTTAAATCCTTTAAAAAACGATGGTATTTGTAAGTATAATAGTATCCATATGGAACATCGCGAATTCTTTAGTTTTGGGGCATTTAGGAAAAGATTTACAAGTAATATCAATATAAAAAATTAAAAAAAAATTCAGTGCATGATTTGAAGTAGTTTTCGAGATAAGATAGGAGATGAAGTTATATTTTTATTCACAGAAAAGAAAATCAAGAATTGTAAATCCCCCTTAAGCATCAGTAATGTTTTAAAATTTATCTGATCTCCCCCAGTAATTAGAAACTTAATGGTTTTCGTTTTCAATCCCTGATATTTTTCGTTTTTATTTGGTAAATTTCTTTTTCTTCATATTATGAAAAATAAACTGCTGGTCGAAATCATGTATGGTATTATAAATCCTTTTATGGAGTTTATTTTGTCTCACCTAAATTTGTATAAACTACAAGCTAGTTTCTATACATGTTTCGAAATATAGACATTAAATTAAATGCATTTAAAGGAGGGATCCACGCACTAGTGAAATTAGACAGGTTCTTTCTTTTATAAACCCTTTTTTTTTACTTTTCGACTACACAAACTAGATTTAGTACAAGTAGTTTAGTGGCTTTTGAAAATTTTTGTAAAAAGTATACTAGAATTTTGACTGATTTTGTATTTATTAAGAATAGAAATTGCATAAAAAGATCAGAGCATCTCTTTCGTTCGTAAATCCTTTAAAAATCGTACAAAAAAGCATTGGGAGATGGAGGAAAAACGAGGATTCAATACGTTTTCGTACACATTTCGGCAATTAAAAAACGGAAGCAGTCTTAGCCTAACCCAGATAGATCCTATTACAATTTATTTTGTCGTCTCCTTAGTCTACACACTAGTTTTTAGTACTGGTAGCCGTCGGGTTGATAGGGCCGTGCGAAGGGCGCGGGGGCGAAGGGCACGGGCGGCGGCCGCCAGTTGGTGGGCGGCGGTCGCGGCGGCGGTGCCGGCATTCCGGGCGGCGCCCAGGCGTTCGCCTGCATCATGCGCGGCGGCGGCGGAATGCCCATCGCCGGCGGCAGCGGCGGCTGACCGCCGGCCATCGGTGGCAGCGGCGGTGGCGGTATCGTCGCCGGGAATGGCGCTGGTTGCGGCACCGGCGGCGGCGGCGCAATCATGCCCATGTTGTTGTTCGAAACGGGCACCACTGGCGGCGGTGGTGCCATCATAGGCGGGGGCATCATCTGGCCCGGCATCTGGGGCATCATATTCTGCACCGGTGCGTCGGCGAACAGTTGATGCGGCCGATCCGCGTGCGCCGAGGGATTCTGGGCGGCCAGCAGACGCTCCGCCGCCGAACCATGCCGCTCGCCCTTGTGATCCTTCTTAAAGGCATAGGATACGGATATAGGACGATTGCACAGATACTGCCCATTCATGGCATCCATGGCCGCATCGCTGGCCTCGAAGCTGGCAAAGTTGATGAAGGCGAAGCTCTTGGATTTGCCAGTCTCCGGATCTCGCATGATTTTCGGCGTCTGCAGAATGACGCCGAAGGCGGAGAAGGTATCGTAGAGCAGTTTCTCATCGACCTCCACATCCAGATTGCCTATAAAGATATTGGCGCCCACATCCAGATTCTTCTGATGCGCCGAAGCCTTATTAACGCGTATGGGTTTGCCATACAACTTGATCATGTTCATGATCTTGATGGCATAGTCGGCGTCCTCCTCGCTGAGGAACTCCACGAAGCCATAGCCCTGGTGCATCTGGGTGACCCGATCCTTGGGCATGTGTACGTTAACTGGGTGGGGGTATAAGGATGGGGATTAGATGGTAGGATAGGTAATCCTCCTCCCACTTACCCACTGGTCCCGCCTGCACAAAGAGCTCCCAGAGCAGCGTTTCCGACACCTTGTCGTCCAAACCGCCGGCATAGATGGTGGCATCTACGGAATAATCAAAACAAGAGATTAGAAGGGGTGTTCAGAAGCATACCCTTTACAAGCCCACCTTGATTCCGTTCAGCAATCGGTCCAGCTGCCATTTCTCAGCTATTTTTATAAACAAAACCTAAAAACTAATTTTCGGTTCGGCGTTTCTTTTGACATGCAAACTGAGCAGGGTTGCCAAATGCCCAGAAAAAACAAACGGTCCTGCTAAAACTATATTAGCAAAGACAACAACCTCACAACGGCAGTGCCATCCCTAGTATCGATAGACCGATAGGCAGCCACTAAGCCAGAACTCAACTCTAATTTTTATGTAATTGTAATGTCACTTTGTTGTCGTTTGTTACAAGCAAGCAAGGAAAATTCGTGCTAGAAACCAAAGAACCAAGCCCCCAATATCCGTGCGCTGTGATGTGATAATCAATTGTGTGTAAATTATGAATTGTCATCAGATTTTGAGCGGCGCCTGCAATGCGGGCGACCGGTGCTTCGCCATTGGCTCCGTGGAAGGAATACCATTTACAGTAAGCGAAGAAGAATCTAATATCGAATTGGGGCAAAATTTGGAGGAGGAATCTTCAAGATGAATTGATTTACCGTCTGCTGGATCCGCCCCTCTCCTCCCCCGGCCGGCCACGCCCCCGCCCCCGCGTGCCTTCGATTAGTTTGCCCCGTTTTTTTTTTCACAATCCAATTCCACACTTCCAATTGGAAACGGGGCATCGTCGTCATTCCAACCAGAACCGATCGCAGCACGTCTTTAATGTTTTTATTTACATATTTGCCAGTGTGTGTGTGTAGTCTCTGTGTGTGTGTGTGTTTGTGTGTTTATTATTTTTTGCCACACTTGGTGGTCAATTAAAAAATCAAATGCAAATAATGATGAGATAGAGAACTTTTTTGAGTGTGTGCTGTGCAAAAATTCGATAACAACAAAACGCAGAGCATGTGTGTGTGTGTTTGTGTGTGGCACAAAATGTTTGTTTTCACCTGCATTTACATACTTGGCCAGCAATTAATTACAGTTTTTTTTTAAGGTCAAGTGCTGGCAGTAAACAAGCCGCACGCACACATGCGTAGGCTGCAGTGAGAGTGTGTGTGTGTGTGTGTACCCTTCGATTGGTCAGGTGGCCTTTGATGCCCTAATTTCGCAGCTTGCAGGTTGTCCCCCTCCCACTCTCCTTCTCACTCTCCTCTCCCTTTCTCCCTCTCCTCTCCCTTTCTCCGTCACACGTCATTGGCAAATTGGAATTATAAACGACCATAAAAAACGTGAGCACGCATTTATAATGTGCCTTTTCGATCCCTATACTATATGTAGTACCATATATACTACATGCAATCTAATAACCGGAAAAAGTATTCTCTAAATGCCGATTTGTTCTAACGATCACAAGAATTTCCCTTGGAAGCCTTGAAAACCAATCAAACTTAAGATCTGTGATCCATAAAAAAACGTAATATCGTTCTATTAACGATTGTATTTAACCTGAATGTTTATTCGATCTTAAGATCACAGGAATTTCCCTTAGAAACCTCGAATCCAACTTAAGATCTGTGATCCATAAAAAACGTAATATCGTTTTATTTACGATTGTATTTATCCTAAATGTTTATTCGATCTTAAGATCACAAGAATTTCCCTTAAAAACCTTGAAAGATGATCCAACTTAAGATCAGTGATCCATTAAAAACCTAATATTTATCCTGAATGTTTATTCGATCTTAAGAATTTCCCTTAAAAACCTTGAAAGATGATCCAACCTATGATCTGATACCCTCTAATTTTATTAGTATTTACCCTGAATGTTTATCCTATCTAGAGAACAAGGTCTGTGTTTTCCTTCAAACCCCCAAGAAGCATAATTAACTGTGCACATTTCGCCATTCTAATGAGAGGCCCCACGGGGCGTATGTGTACATTCTATAGAATATTCTGCTATATCTATATATCTATATTCTATTCTGTAATCAGCACCGCTGTTGACACAGTCCCCCGTTCACAGACCGCCCACCCCCTCCCCATCCCTCCCCTTTCCCCCCTTTTTGCGCCATATCATTTGCCATCATTTCAATTTGTTTAATTTCGAGTGTATGCATATGTTTATATTTATTTAGTATATAGTAGTCGGCACGAAGACAATCCCCTGGCGCCATCTATCGGGTAAGAGGGGGTAGAAACCATGAAAAAGGAGAAACCCATCCAATACCATGTTTATAATAGTAATCTAAAACCCTGGTTGTGAGTAATATTTAGAGAGCATCGCTTGCAGTTTTAATTTTAGGTTATTTCTAGGGAACGAAACCTTTTATATAAAGTAATCTTATCTGGGCCCAAAAACTAATGAGTCGGTAATCGGAAAGGCGGTGGGAAAACCCTCCATAAAATGTATCTTTTTTATTAGTTAAATAGAGCAGTGCGTCAAAAGAAAAATTTAAAAATAAAACTGTCACCGGAGAGAAGTTGATACCCTTTTTTGTATGACAAACTGATAAAATAACCTGGGGTATCATGAAATAACCAACTCAAAAAATCTCTATTAATATTCCTCCTTTATCACGGTTATAGCTAAACAACAGAACCATAATCTCTCAAATCAATAAACCAATTATACGATAAAAATTGTTGATTTTATCATTTTCATATGGGAAATGATATTTTTTAGCCAGTTTTTCCTAGAATCTCGTTACCCACACAACCCATAAAATAGATAAAATGACTAAACTACTAAACTACCTATACTATATATAGTTTAGCACTTAAAAAGCGTAGCAGGGTATTCAAATTTGTGGCCACGATAATGAGCATATCAGCGAGACGACAGCTCAACAAATAAATCAAACACACATTTTAGCTAACCAGGTAACCAAACATGATGTGGCAAGAGCCTTGTCGGCCTGATAAGCCAGTTAACTGGACAGTTGGGGTATTGTTATCGATATATACCTAGGCTATATATATATAGTACCTCCTATATACACTTGAAAAGAAACAAACAAACGGATAGATTAATTATAACCTGATTTTCCGCTAACCAACAGGCCTACGCCGCCGGCTGCAATGTTGTCATCCTGGCCAGCACCTTCGAGCGCGTCCAGATCATTCCGGGCGCCAACCATGGCTACGTCAAGATATCCGCCCTGGACTGCAGCACAGATACCGGAAAGATAGCGGCTGCCTACGAGAATAAGATATGCATTTTTGAGCCCACGCCGGTGATTGAGTCCAGCAAGCACAATACCCACTTTCTGGACTACAGGTTCGGGTTATTCTAATATGATTTCCATTATATCATCATCATATTCTCTGTATTCCTCTGCAGATGGGTGCAAACGGGCTCCTTTACCAGCCAGTCGAGCGTGGTCACCTTGTCGTGGAACCTCGAGGGCACCCGCCTCCTCACCGGCGGCACCAACATCCAGCTGTGGAAGAGCAAGTCGCCCACCCACCAGCAGGAGGAGGAGCACACGGGTGGGTTTTTTTCTTTTCGTGTGTTTTGCAGCCAACTATCGATTGGCGTGGGAGGAGATGGAAATGCAAATGGAGAGATGGAGATGGATGATTCACGGATGCAAAGTGCATTTTTCATTTTATAATAGCTTACATGTCGTCATTAGGGGGTTTTCTTATAAATTATGCATTGGAATGGCAGATTAGAGGAACTATTCCATAAATATTTAATTGTTTCTTAACATTTACTGGGTTTACATTTTATAATAGTTATAATAGTCTTCAATGGGCTTTTTCCTATATGCTTATACATATATTCATCAGTATTTTAGATTTTAGGAACTATTCCTTGATTTTTTACTTTTTCCTTAACATTTAATGGGTTTACATTTTATATTATTATAATACTCGATTAGTATTCTAGATTTCAGGAACTATTCCCTAATTATTTACTTATTCCTTTTGATTTCCAATAGTTTCAAATTTTTGTTTACGTATAGAAAAGCCTGGCGGTTCAGTTACATTGTTTAGTCTGGAATTTGTTTATGGAAGGTACTGATATTTGACTTTTTTAAATTATTATTTTTGTAACTTAAATCAAAGTGATATGAGAGCAATTTCAAAGGTCTGTTGGTTTAGTTTTGTATATTGTTTACCGATACGGAAATTCAATATTAGTGAAACGTCTTAAAAATATATATTTCAGATTGCAGAATTACTTTATTTTCATTAGCATTGAATGAATATAGATAGTTTTCTATTTCTCGATATTTAAAATGAGTTTTCCCTTGCAAACATCGATATTATCGTATAGTTATTATTCAAATATTATCGAAAATATCGATAAATTTCCAACAACTCAAATCAAAGTGTTATGAGGGCAGTTTCTAAGGTCTGTTGGTTTAGTTTTGTAAATCGCACATTGTTTGGATTGGAATTTGATTAAGGATCCTTGACAAAATGGTACCAATACTCTCTTGAAAACCCTATTAATTCCTATTATGTATTATCTATTATATTTCTAACCTATCTAAACTATCCCCCAATTTCATATCCCCCCTTAACAGGCGTCAAGTTCGAGATTGGCGAGAGCAAGGAGCCGAAGCAGCCGAACAACGCCCAGTCGGAGGATGTGTCCACGTGGGAGAACATCTGGAGCTGCCAGACGGCCATACCCATATACCACATGGCATTTAGTCCGGACGGCACGCTCTTTGCCACCTGCGGTCGCAACGATCGTCTGGTGAAGATCTGGTACGAGAACAAGCAGGTTCTCTTCCCGGCCAAGGGCACAACCGCAACCACAACCTCCTCTTCCGGAACCACTCATCGTCATGGAGGCGAAGATGCCACTAGTTCTTCTTCTGGCAATGGTGATTTGAACTTCACCTACGTCTACATTGCCCATCCGCGTGCCGTTTCCAATATTGTGTGGCGCAAGACGAGCAAATATATGCCGAAAGGATCGGTGGCCAATATGCTGGTCACCTCCTGCCTGGACAACATTTGTCGCATCTGGATTGAGACTGTGCTGCCGGATGATGGCATGGTCAACATGACCCAGTTCGATCCGATGGCCTCGCAGAACCCAAAGTTCCGTACGCATCGCCACAAGCATCGCTTTATGCAGCGACTGAAGCACATGAAGACCTGCTTTCACATCCGCCGTCACATGAAGGCTGGGGCAAATGCTCCGCATGGTAATCACGTAGGAGGAGCAGCAGCAGCAGGAGGAGGAGCAACTGGCGGCGTTTCTAGCGGCACCATGGGCGCCATGGGCAGCTCACCGGCGAGTTATAGCAATTATTTGGGTCCCATACCTTCGCTGCCTTCGTCCTGCAGCGTTCATGATTTTCATTCGTACGGTTTCCAAGGATCCGGCGTCACTCCCGGCATGCACTTCCATTTGGCGGCATCGATTAACGCGGAAACAGACATACCACTGGTTCCCTCGATGCAAACCAGCGATCCGGCGAATCAGAATGTGTTTATCCTGCACTGGCTGAACAACAAGGAGATGCATTTCACCCTCCAGGCAGAGGCCATACTCCAGGAGCTCACCAAGAAGGTGATTGACGAGGAGAATGGTCATGATTTACCCGATGATGCAGCTGCAGCTGCTCCTGCAGGCAGTCACTCCCATTCGCAGGGACATGCGCACAAGAAGTACCTGCGTTCCTCCAAATCCGTTTCAGTGGATGACAGCGGCGAGGAGTATAGCCGTTATAGTCAACACACGGGAGTAGCAGCCAATCTCCACCTGAACTCCATGTCCAATACCACGTCACAGAACTCGCTAAACAACGAGCAGGCGGCGCATCCAATTACCCAATTGGTTGACTCGCTAGACAACAAGATTGAGTGCCTGCTGCGCGACTGGCACCAGAGTCCCGATCTCCTCTTCGCCATCCATCCGGTGGACGGTAGCTATTTGATCTGGGTGATTGAGTGGCTGGATGACTACTATCCTGGTTCTTTCCGCCAGGCGCAAGTATCCTTCTCCACGCGCATCCCTTCGGCCTTTCCGCTGGGCGATGCCATGTCCATGTCCACCACGGTTAGCCTTTTTAACACGGGCACCCATCCGCTGGCCTTTCGGGATATAGCCAACAATGTGCGCAGCAAGGATGAGTTTCACAAGGGCAATGCGGATGACTCCTCGCTGAAGAGCGATCAGCATTCGGGACAGACTTTCGAGCGGCACGACGAGGAGCAGGAGGATGCGGTTGATGAGCAGGAGGAGAATGATCGCGAGGGCGATGCCGATCAGGATGAGAGTGCTGCAAATAGTGGGGGAGTTGGAGGAGCAGGAGGAGCAGCGGAGCACAGCAGCAGCTCGCAGGATTCGGCGGCAGCAGGAAGTGCTCTCCCACTGAATGTTTCTCCCTCCGTTTCCATGGTGACCAAGCATTCGAATGGCACTCTCAATCTCTGGCAACTGACCTTTGCCTTCAAGACCAAGTTCACCCAAGTATTAAGCATCGGTCATGTGAGCCGTGCCTCGGGACATCGCTTCCGGGTGAACGACATCACCTGCCATCCGGTGCTGCCGCTGCTCGTCTCCACTTCGCATCATAATCTCCCCGATTCGCCGGAGGTTAAGTCACCTCTATCACCCTTTGAACAGCCTTTGAGTGGAGGAGGAATTCCAGGAGGAACTGCAGCAACTGGAGGCTCTTCTACCGGCGACAAGGATGTCTTTACGCCCACTGGCTTCTGCTCCGAGCTAATCCTTTGGCGCGTCGACTCCGTGGGACCGCTGTGCCATTCGGGCGGCGTGAGTGAGCTGGCCAGGATCAACTCGCCGGAGATCTCGGCCTTCAGCAACGTGGCCTGGATACCCACGCTCCTGCCGAGCACCACGCTGGGCAGCTACAGTAACTCACCATCCGCCTGCTTTGTGGCCTCGGATGGCGAGAATTTGAGGGTCTATCAGGCCGTCATAGATGCTCGCACTTTGCTGGCCGAGATCTCCTGCTCGGAGAATCTAAATACGCTGCACAAATCGCATTCGCTGTCGTCGATGATCTCGAATGCCTCGTCCACGATGCGCGGCCAGCGTTCGGCGCTGCATGATAAGCTGAAGGTCGTTTCCCAACAATCAACAGCGCGTCCTGGTTGCATCCTCCAACTGGATGCGATATCGGATGCCAAGCATGATTGGCAAAATACCCAGTTTTTGCATGTTTTCCAAGCTCAGTTAATTACGGGTGGGCAAAGGCAAACGTCGGATTTGAATGACCCGGAGGATGAGCCGCGTTTGAATGCTCTGCTCGAATCCGATATGGATGCCATTGTGGATCTGCAGCGGAATGCGGACTTTGAGGAGCCCTTCTATATTGTGAACATAGAGAAGACGCTGCGCGGCAGCACAATACACATGTGGAGGATTGTAATCAGCTCCAAGCAGCAGAGCTCCTTTCTCTCGGAGACGGCGATGTATGTGCCCGATAGCAACCTCACCCAGGAGCCCGACGAGGATGGCAATCCCGGTAATCCCCGTCGAATGTCGCAGGGCGCTGAAACTTTAACGGGAGCCGAGCACTTTGGACCGCAGGTGGAGGCGCCGCACATCTCTATTACGACGAAGAAGGTGTGCACTCAGGAGTTGCCTTTGCCAGAAGGTGTAGATGTAATCCATGCCTCGCCAGCCGCTGGTCATCTGAGCAGCTCCAGCATTTATCCGGCCTGCTTTGCACCCTACATCATAGTGACCGCCTGCTCGGATTCGATTTCTCGCTTCTGGAAATGTGAGCCCATTGAGGATCCCGATGGCGATGCCTATCATTGGAGCGAGTGGAAAATGTTTAGCCGCATTCAGCACTCGGCCATTGAGATTCCCGGCCAGCCGTTGAACATTAGTGCTGCCTATTCGGGACGGATTGCGTGTGCCTACAAGTACGGCAAGAGTTTCACGCGACCGAACAAGGGACCAGATCCGGATTCACGTTATGTCAACCTTTGTGTGGCCATCTACGAGTGCGAGAGTTCCGGAGGAAGTGAATGGGTGCTGGAGGATACCATCCACCTAAAGAATGTCCATTTACCCAGGATAAACATAGGTCACGGCATCGATTTGAGTTACCTCCACGATAGTAGACTTCTCGCCAAGAAGCAGCGGTTGAATCAAGTGCTTCATGGCACTTTTTCACATGATCCCGAGAGTCGATCGCCCAGGAGTGGCGAGACCACGCCGGAATTGGCCGTTGGAGGTGCCAGGCAACCCTCCTCGGCCGCCGCCTCTGGTTTGCTGACCGTTCCCAGCTTTAGTACCCTGCAATCCCTGAGGAAAAGCATCGCCGAGAACGGCAACACCTGTCCGCTGACCCAAAAGCATCTCGTTCAACTCGATTGGGTTAGCAAAGAGGATGGTTCGCACATCCTAACCGTTGCCGTGGGCAGCAAGATCCTGTTATATACGCCCGTTTCCTCAGACATTGCCCAGGCGAACATCAAGGCGATGAAGGAGTCGCGCTCGGTAAACAGACCGATCCTAAGAAAGGCCAGTTCCCTGGCTCAACCGAACTTTGTGGACGAGATACGCTGGATGAAGTTGCGGCAGATTGATTTACAGACAGCCGACGGACTGCCTCCTCTGCCCATGCAAATCTCTTGGGTTCGCGATGGCATTCTGGTGGTAGCCATGGATTCGGAAATGCATGTGTATTCCCAGTGGAAGCCGCATTACTCCTCGCATTTTGCTGCTGCTGCGGCGGCTGCAGCTGGAGAGGATGTCCCAGATACGAGGAACCTGAGAGACGAGGATCTGCGCTCGCTGGCCAACGAATCCACACAGCTGCGGCTGAAGAATGTGGCCTCCATGCCGCTGATCAGCAAGGTGAGCACCGCCAATCTGCAGCTGTTGTCGCATGACAAGAAGCGACGTCTGGGGAATACCAGCATGGCTAATATGAATGGAGGAGGAGGAGCTATAACTACAGATCCCGAAGACACCGGAAACGATGACTACATGACCGACTTTGGCCTTTTCCAGGCCTCCCGCATCGCCTGTCCGGTGCTGCCGCAATATCATCCCAAGCAGCTGATGGAGCTGCTCAATTGCGGCAAAATCCGCTGGGTGAAGGCCATTCTGGCGCATCTCGTTCGCTGCATGAGTGGCAATAGCTCGGGTTTAGCTGGCCAGGATGAGGATGGCTATGCCAGGCAACGCAGCTGGTCGAGATCGCGCACCTTGAGTATTAGCTACACGGCCGATCAGAATATTCAGGCCGAGCATCGTGGAAGCACTACCCAAATTCCCGAGGAATTAATGCTTGACTACGCGGAGATTAATTCTATACCACCTCTGCCACTTTGGGTGCTGCTCAATGCGGATCGCGAGACGCCGGGGCAGAGTAATAATTATACCGAAGGCGACAAGGATTACGATGAGCTCTTCGACATGCACAACTCGGAGGATAATCTGGATGAGCTGCTCAGCGAGGGGGATGAGAAGAAGCGTCAGGAGAGGCGACTCTCGTTGCCTGAGAAGCATTCAATCTCCCACTTTGGTCCAAGGCAGGGTCAGCTTTTGTCCCGCCTGCTCACCCACACCCATTTGCCTGGTCTCTCTTCCCTGGATCAGATGCATCTTTTGGCACTGGCTGATACGGTGGCCACTTGCAATACGGATTTCTCGGATAAATTCGCAGCCGATCAGGGAAAATCAAGTGGAGGAAGCAGCGGAGGAGGAGCAGCTGCTGCAGGAGCCGTAAAAGAAAGCACCGATTCCCTCGACGACTGCGGCCTGCGCTTCCTGCTGGCCATGAAGCACTTTACCTACCTGCTCCGCTGCCTTCCCCTCCAGCAGCGGGCGCAATTTCAGCGGCAGGGAGTGGGCACATCCAACATCGTTTGGGCCTATCACTCGGAGAGCGAGGAGGAGTTGCTCAATCTAATACCCAGCTATACAAAGGGAGATCTGCGATGGGCCACGTTGAGGGACCTCGGAATGGGCTACTGGCTGAAGAACATCAATACGCTGAGGCGGTGCGTCGAGAAGCTGGCCAAATGCGCCTATCAGCAGAAGCAGGAGCCCCTGGATGCGGCCATCTATTACCTGGCCATGAAGAAGAAATCCCTAGTGTGGGGTTTGTTTAGATCGCGTCGCGACGAGAAGATGACCGCCTTCTTTGGCAACAACTTTGCCGAGGATCGCTGGCGCAAGGCGGCGCTTAAGAATGCCTTTGTGCTGCTCGGCAAGCAGAGATTCGAGCACGCGGTGGCCTTCTTCCTGCTAGCCAATAGCTTAAACGATGCCATTGAGGTTTGCATGAACAAGCTGGAGGATTTCCAACTGGCTTTGATCATTGCCCGTCTCTATGAAGGCGACTCCGAGGGTTGCTACTATCATCAGCTGCTGCATGAGCACATTTTGGGCACCGATGCGGAAACTGGACGCTGTGATTTGAGTCGCGCCCATCCCGATCCCTTCCTGCGCTCGATGACCTACTGGACAATCAAGAAATACCAGGAGAGCCTCAACACCCTGCTGCTGAACAATGTGGGCAGCCTGCACAGCAGCTACCGGGAGGAGGATCTACTGCTGCGTCCCGAGCCGCAGGCCACCAATCCGAATGTCTTTAATTTCTACATCTATCTGCGCACCCATCCGCTGCTCATCCGTCAGAATATCGCTCTGTCCGCCCAGGAGAAGCGAATCGCTCATGTTGTTTTATCTGGATTTAATTATGCCGGCGATGCGGCACCAAGTGCGGTGGCCTGCGACAAGCAGCTGCAGCTGGAGGATTCCATAACGCCGATAGAGCGGCAGCTGTACTTTACCACCGCCCATGGGCATTTTAAATCCGGTTGCCCTGCGCTGGCGCTCGAGGTGCTCAACAAGCTGCCTCAGAAGATTAGCGATGATTCGGGAGGCAACGATGGTGAAAGTTTAGCCGGGAGCAGCGTAGCCCAGGAGCGCGGCCAGGCGAGCAAGGAGGAGCTCATCAACACGGGCATCATGGATCAGTGGGGAGGAGGAGGTGGAGGAGCAGGAGCAGCCACAGCGGATGCCTTCGACTGGGGTGCTCCGGTGGCCAGTGAACCGGAGGCCAAGTTTGAAATTAAATGGGATGATGAGGAGGATGAGGAGGAGGAGCAAATAGATCCCGATCTGGAACCGGAATTAGCTACCCCACAACCCATTCTAACCCGAGGCAACCGGAATGGCGATACCAAGATGGACATCATGGCCCAGCAGCTCAAGTTCGTGGCCTGCCTGAAGATCCTCATGGAGGAGCTGTCCACTCTGGCCACCGGCTTCGAGGTGGACGGCGGCCAGCTGCGCTACCAGCTGTACATGTGGCTGGAGCGCGAGGTGGAGGCCCTCAAGCAGCTGTGCAACTACTGCAGCCAGGCGGAGCAGGCGAGCCATGCCGACGGCGGCGAGGCGGAGGCGGACAGGGAGGCCAAGGAGATGAACGCCAGCATCTATCCCAGTACGGAGCGGCCCACGCTGCACGAGATCCTCATGCAGGACAAGCAGGATTTCGAGGCCAAGGTGATGCGAGCGGCCAAGCGGAAGAGATGGCTCAAGGGTAAGATTGGGTGATTATATCCAGGGTTCCGAGATTGACACACATGTTCAAAACATTAACAATTTTATTTAACAGTGTATTTTACAAATGGGTTTAAATGTGAAAAATAATTGTTAACACACACACAGCTTACTTGTGTTTTTTACACACTGTGCTTTCAACACAAATGAAAATTACATTTCACTGACATGAAAAATGATATTTTACAGTGTATTTTACAAACGTGTTAAAATGTGAAAAATAATTGTAAACACACATGGCTCAATTGTGTTTTTTACACATTGTGTTATTAACACGACGTGTTTTTAACACACTGTATTTTTAACACAAATGAAAGTTACATTTAACTGACATAAAAAATTATATTTTACAGTTTATTTTACAAGTGTTAAAATGTAAAAAAAAATAATTGTTAACGCACACAGCTCAATTGTGTTTTTAACACAAATGAAAATTACATTTCACTGACTTAACGATTCGAAGTGAAAATGAAAAAAAAAAGTTTTAACCATTTTAAAGCATATATGAATTCTTATACTCTAGAAAACGGTGCCTTTATCAGTTCAATTCTAAGACTTTTATGTCAAAAACTCACTGTGTTAAAAACGCGCTATGTAAAAAACACGTCGTGTAAATAACACAAATTCTGACACTTGAAAGTCACAAATGACATGACACAAGTAACTTAACTTATTTTTAACTTTGACATTTAACATGTTAATAACACAAGTTTTTTACACCTTGATTATATCTAATGGATTTTAACCCCCTTGTTTTTTTAGCCAACGAAACCCTGCTCCGCACCCTGCTCAGCTATTGCTCCCTTCACGGCGCCAGCGGCGGTGGCCTGGCCTCGGTGCGCATGGAGCTGGTGCTGCTCCTGCAGGAGCTGCAGCAGGAGAAGACCCAACAGCAGCTGCTCAGCCCGCTGCCCTTCCCCACCACGCTGCCCCTGCTGAGTGCCTGTGTGGCTGGGAATAAGACAGTGATCGCGGATCCCATTAAGTACCTGCAATCGCAGACGGTGGACATGCTGCAGAGCATCATCAAGGTGCTGCCCTTCCCGGGCATCGAGCCGAGTTCCCTAAGCGAGATCTTTGTGCTCCGCGATCTGGCCGTTGCGCTCTCCTCGTGCATCTACCAGTCGCTCTGCGATTCGGAGAGCTTTGTGGTGAACAACTCGGCTTTTAATGGCTACCCGAGTCCTGGGATGGAGAACATAGCCAAGATTAATTCATCCTTCGAGTGCAGCTATCTGGTGGGCAGTCGGAATGCCTATGGCCGCAGGCGCAAGTATTCCACCGATGAGCCGGCTGGCGTTTGCACCACACCGTCCAAGTGGCCAGGAGTTACTAATCTGCGGGCTCTGCTCGCCCGCGAGAAGGACGAGGATGTGCCCAAGCTGAATGTCCTGCTGCTGGAGTCCTTCGTGTCCACCTACATGGCCCTCTTCATCTACTCGCTCTCCACCTGCGACAGTCGTCTGCTGTATCGCCTGAGTGGCCAGAGTTTCAACAACGACACCTGGTCTACTCTTTTCGGTGGCGGCATGAAGAAGTTGCTCATCAAGCCGGCTCAGCCTTCTGGAGGAGGAGGAGGAGCAGCTACTGGTTCCACCTCCGAGGAGCCGGCGGATGAGAATAGCGTTTGGAACACGGTCACCTCGATAACGAAGCAGCGCATGAAGCTGAACATGAAGATCCTGGGCAGCTTCAGCCAGAACAGCACTTCGAGCAACATGAAGGAGGATAAGCCGACGTACAGGGAGCAGTTTATGCCGCCAGAGACATCGATGCTTTCCTACTTCCTCACCAAGCCGCCCACAACAGGTAGATCAATCGATCCTCTCAAGAAGACAGTGCTTCTTAACTAACTAATGATTATCTCCCTTACAGAATGCGATGACTATGACACAGACGACTCGCACGAGTCGGAGAACGAGGAGGAGGAGGAGGACGACGACGATGTGAATGTGAGCCGATCGCAGCTAAAAACCAAGGACAATACAGAGCACACCAATCCCATGTCCTATTCGTGGAGCATCCTGCGCCTGGCGCTCATCAAGATCAGCACGCACAAGATCCAGGAGCTGGTCAAGGTGGCCGGCATCGAACTGCAGGGTAGTTGTAGTCATTCATCTAACTCATCCACCAAGAAACTGATTTTAATTTATATTATTTCTCGTTAAGATTTGCCTGTGATTAGTCCGCTGTCGCACGAAGTGCTGAGGACGCTGAATCGCTGGAATGATTTCGCTTTGGCTGACCTTATTGGACGTGGACCGCCTTCCCGGAATTATATACCCGGCTGCTATGCGGAGAGCGGCATTAATGGTTTGGCCATCCACAAGTACCGATCGCTGCTGAACAAGGACAACACGCCGTTCGTTTCGGGCTCCTCTGCGGGTCCCATTCGGCGGCTGTGGAACTATCTGGTGCGCCAGGAGCCCGCCCAGGAGGTCTTCATCAAGAGCATCTTTGGCAAGAACATGGAGCCGAGTGCACGGGGATCATCGCATCATACCCACAACGACAACGAGACGGATGAGGGTGAGCTATCCTTTGTTTCTGGGTTCAAATGGTTATTATAAGTGATATAATAAAAATCAATATTTAATGATTATTTATTGATTTTTATAAATTGTACTCCATTTAAATAATTATTTGTTGAGTTTTTTTCAATCGCTCAAAGAATAATTATTATTATTGTCAGCGAAAAAAATATCAATCAAAAAATAATCATTATCTATAGCGTTATTTTTTCGCTTAAAGTGCAATATCTTTTTTCTCAGAGGTTTCTTTAGAAAAAAATTTGCGCAGCATTAAAAAAATATTTTTAAATTTGAAAAAAAAAGTTTTAAGAATAATTTTATATATACATTTTTTTAAACTTATATAACTTTAATTCCAGGTCAATCCCATTCGACCAACGAGAACACCGACCACATACGCATCATTCACAAGGATCACGAGTCCATATTGTCCTTCTGTCTGAAGAACAACAGCTCCTCGATGATCGCCTTCGCCAATCCGCGCGAAATTCAGGAGTTCGACATCTCGCTGCTGCTGGAGTCGCCCAATTGGTACGAGGACGAGTGCGACTACGACATGATGAACCTGTCCAAGGATGCGGACACCAACAGCTCCTCCTTCCTGATCATCCAGACGCAGGAGCAGTGAGTTCAGCTCTGCTATTCATATGGATTTTAACTAATTGCTTTGTATTTTACCCGGCAGAAACCAATTTGGAGGGAATAGCAATGCCTACAGCGAGTCGAATGCCAGCACACAGAGTGCCTCGCAATCGGGACGCGGCACATCGATGGTGGGTGGATCCTGTTTAGCATTTCAAGACTATATAATTTAATTTAATTGAATTTATTATAATTTAGGTGCTGCGCCACAAGGTGGACAATGTGAAGCGCATGAGCGCCCATCCGCTGATGCCGTTGTATCTGACTGGCGGCCAGGATGGCTCCGTGCAGATCTGGGAGTGGGGCCACCAGCAGCCCGTCTGCTCGCCCCGCACCTCGGGCACCTTTGCCAAGGTCACGCGCTGCCGCTTCTCGGAGCAGGGCAACAAATTCGGCATCGGCGATGGCGATGGAAAGCTCAGCCTCTGGCAGGCGGGCATCGCCTCGCAGAACAATCGTTCGTTTATAGTGAGTTTGTTTGATTTAGCTGACTAACTGATTCCACTAACTCTGCTTCTAATTTTCCTTGCAGAGCTACCAGTGCCACAACAAGGCTTTGTCCGATTTCGTGTTCCTCGGTTCCTGCAGTCTCTTGGCTAGCGGTGAGTTGTTTTCTCTTAGAATCTTTCCTATTTTTATATATAAATTCCCTTTGCAGCTGGTCAAAGTTCCGAGAACAAGAACATCAACATCTGGGACACACTGCTGCCCCACAAGAAGTCCTGTGTGTCGGGTAAGATTACGAATTAGAGTCTAGATTATTTCATGTCTGAAAATATATACTTTTTGTACAGCCTTCACCTGCCACGACCAGGGATCCTCTTGTTTGGTGTTTGCCCCGCAGCACCAGGTGCTCATCTCGTGCGGCAAACGCGGCGACGTTTGCGTCTTCGATGTGAGACAGCGAACGCTGCGCCATCGCTATCAGGTGCGATTCCTCTGAAATATAAATCTCTATATATTTGTAATGTGTATTTATGATTCCTTAATAGGCCCACGATAGCACCATCAAGTGCATAGCTCTCGATCCGCACGAGGAGTTCTTTGTCACTGGCTCCATTGAGGGTGACATTAAGGTGGTTTAACTGAGATATTTTAGTTATCATTTAATTAATATTATTTATAAACCATCCCGCAGATCTGGGACATGAATCAGTTCATGCTGATCAACACGTTCCCCCATGAGCATGCCAAGAACGGATTCTTCAAGCACACCGGCCAGGGCGTCAGCCAGGTGTACGTCGATCCCTTCGGGCGGCTCTTCTCCTGCGGCTCCGATGGCTGCATGAAGGTCCGCCTGCTGGTGGAGAAGGACAACATTGTTCACTCCCTGTATTGAAAGCTGTATTCTATCCGTTACATTTCGGATGTCCATGTCCGCGTCCTACAATATATATATATGTGTATTCTTTGTTGATCGTTGATTATTGTAACATTTTTAATTGTATTTCAATTTCAATTTCCTACTCGTACAGATATACATATACATCTATCTATCTTTATATATTTTATTACTACCTTTATTTGCATAACTGTATTGTTTATTACTTCTGTATTCTGTCTTTATTTTTTTTTTCGTTTTGCTATTTAATGTTTTTCCAAACGACGAAACAAAAACGATTCGCTTGATTCGTTGCATGTTCTTTGAGTATTTCCTAAACAGACTATATACTATTACACTACTATACAGAAACAAGATATATATATATACATACATATATTATATACATCTATTATATGCTTTAAATCAATTAATTATTATTATACGATATACAAGACATTCGACAGTATGGTAATTGATATGCTTACGAATATATATTACGATCTATGTCCTTGTGTTGAGCTTTGTGCAAAAATTTGTCTGTTGTTGAATCAATCAAGATATATGTATACCTAAAACGAAACTAAATGAATTAACTAAAAATAAATAAAGTGCAAAATGAATAAAAAAAAATTAATTAAACCGAAACCCGTGTTTATTTCAATAGCCGCTAGATGGCGTCAGTAGCGTTCTTCCGGCCAAAATTCTGTTTGTTTTTTGCTGTAACTTGGACAAAAATGGTCCCAAATCAAAAAGGCGTATGGTTTTGAGCAGCTAACAACCTAATAATTAATATCAGTAGACTTTTCGTTTGATTTAAAAAAAATACATTTTGGACCCAATTTTCACTTTTTTGATAAGGGGTTACATCATAATTTTTGGCAAAAATTTGAAAAAATTAAAAGTTTCTAGGTTTAAATGCAGATCGGTTGGGAATTTTATTACGAGTTTAACGAGGTATGACAATCCATATTGGGATCCTTATTTCAGTTTTTATGACAAAAATTTGGGTGGAAAATCAGGATTTTGATTTTTGGTCCAAATTTGAAATATTTCTTTATCGATTTTTTGCTGTAACTTGGGCTAAAATGGTCCAAAATCAAAAAGGCGTACGGTTTTGAGCAGCTAACAACCCAAAAATTAATATCAGTAGACTTTTCGTTTGATTTAAAAAAAATAAATTTTCGACCCAATTTTCACTTTTTTGATAAGGGGTAACATCATAATTTTTGGCAAAAATTTGAAAAAATTAAAAATCTTCAGATTTAAATGCAGATCGTTTGGAAATTTTATTACGAGTTCAACGAGGTGTGACAATCCATATTTGGATCATTATTTTACTTTTTATGACAAAAAGAATGTTTTTTTTAGGTGGAAAATCAGGATTTTTATTTTTGGTCCAAATTTGAAATATTTCTTTATCGATTTTTTGCTGTAACTTGGTCAAAAATGGTCCCTAATCAAAAACGGCGCATTTTTCGAGCAGCTAACAACCTAAAAATAAATATCCCTAATTTCGGTTTTATGGCAGGTTACATGTGATGATGAAAATGTTTTCAGTAAAATATTAACTTGATTTTTCGTCCAACCGATACCACAATATAAAGGTTTTTATAGAATGTATTAACTTTTTCGTTTGTAAATAAATAAACACGCATTTCCAATTCGTTGTCGTCGACAGGATGTTCTCAGCACGGTCACAATGGCCATAAGACCATATACGGTTCCAACCATTTATTTATCCCACTAATATACACATCAACTGAATTGTTCCATTTCCGTTTGCCATTGAAAAGTGTTTTTCTTATTTCATCTTTATTATTTCTTTTCTGTGTTTTTGCTTATTTTTTTTTCATTGTTAGACAATCGAACAAATTAAACGCTACGCCTCTTATGGGCATTTAATAATAAAACTAGGAAAAAAAAATAATAGGTTGAAGAGTTCACATGGGAGACAGAGACAGAGAGGCAACAAAAACATAGATGGTAGCCAAAAGAGGAATTATTATGGATCGGATCGGGTCGGATCGGCGGATCGAGCGGAAACGTTGGCATCCGTTGAAAACAGCATTATGTGTAATAGTATACAGCGAAGTAGGGTAAGATAAAATGGGTAGAACCGAATCCGGAGTGTGTTGGTCGTCAAGGGGGCCCGTTCATTTCGTATCGTATCGTATCATATGGCATCGTATCGAGACATCGAATCTACGACCTCGGCGGCTTAATTAGCTTGCTGGTGGGCGGTGGCAGCTTGCAGAAGCCAGCCGCATCGAAAACGGGCAGCAGTTCCCTCACCCGTCCGGGAATCGAACCATCGAGCATTCTGCGAAAGCATTCAACATTAATAGAATAGTTTTATTGGCAATAGAAAGTAAAAATGTTCATAACTCATAAGTTTAACATGGGAAATTTTAGTGGAGATTTTCAGAAAGGTGACCCAAAACAGTCCATCTAACTCCATTAATCTAATTCCGATTTTGAAGTGGCACACCCCTTAAAGTGCCTGGCTTCATTTCCTAATCAGTTGTACTCAAAATTATATATATTTAAAATTTTTTTTTTTTGGTGACCCCGATTTCGAACCCATACCTGCGCTTATAGTCAATCTTGGCGCCCTTTAGCGAGATGTTGGCCTCAGTGGGAAAGAACGTGGCATCGTAGAAGTTGAGTCCGTTCTGCAACAGGATGTTGTACTCGTCCATGGAGGCCAAAGTGATCCGGATGACGGCGGGGGGCAGTTCCCGGCGCTCGGGACGCTCAGCCTTCTCGATGGCATCGCCCACCACGGAACCCACGCTCTTCGAGGTGCCTGCAAATTAAATTATTAAAGAGTTTTTAGGATAATGAGTGGTATTTTATAGGGAATATTAAGATATTGTTGATGGGGTTTGGGTTTTCCAACTTCAAAGTGTTTCAAGTTATGAGAGATTTATTGTGAATATTTTAAAATAATTATTAGATCATTTTTTAAATCCCCTTTGAAGACCTTGAAGTCGTGGATAAATCGAGCACCTTTTTTCGAACTTCTTAAATAAGACAGGGTTATAATTTCAATATATTTTCGCATGTTACCAATTGGTGGGTACTTTACTTCGAAGGGCCGCTCGGCGCAGAGTCTGGGTGGGCGTGTGCAGCAGCTGGATCTGCTCACCTTCGACGCCCTTGTCCCCGCCGGCGGAGGAGGAGCCGGCGGCGACGGAGGAGGAGGAGGCGTTGGCGGCGTTGCTGGCGAGGCTCGAGTAGATGTGCAGGCGCACCACCTCCACCACCGAATCGAACTTGTACATGGCATGCCGTATGTCCTCCACGGGCAAATCCTCCGGCACATCGAGCACGTACAGGGTGAAGGTCTTCCTTGGGCGACAGGGAATGGCTATCTGTGGATCGCAGAGGAGAACGAAGGGAGAACGGAGAGTGACTGCTGCGCATGCGCATGGTTAAGCTATGGCATATATATATATGTATTTATGGGCTTTCTGGGGGTTATGACTTAATGACTGTCTGTGTGTGCTGGGTCAATCCCAATCTCTGAGGAGGAGGGTCATCAGTTATATGGTTATACTCACGCTGCGCGAGAATGTTTGCTGCAAAATGGGGGAAATAAAATATGCATATTTTTCACTTGTCGGTTGGGTTAGTCTGGCAGAAGGTGCTCGATGATCGATGATCGATGGTCTGGCGAGGATCTGACGAGGATCTGGCGAGGATCTGATGAGGTGAGTGCTGGCGATGTAGCAATGGGCAGTGATGGGAAGTTCTGGCGTGTGGGCGGTGGCTTTGAGGGGTTTTAAACCAGGCAGGTGCAACGAATGTCCAATAGATAATTTTGGAAAATTTTTAAAAATTGCTCAGTATCTGATTTTAAAATTTTTAAGGGGATATTTCAAATAATCTCTAAATAATATTCCAATTAATAATAAAAAATAATGAGTAAATTTAATTAGATTAAATTAATCTTCTTTTTGTTTCAGCTTTTAAATAGATAAATATTTAGATTTTAACTCTATAACTTCAATTTTTAAAACCTAGATAATATGAAAAATGGTATAGTAGTCCTTAAAGTTTTTAAGATAATTTGTATATCAATTTTGAAGTGCAAAAAGCCTTTAAGCGATTTAAATTGCCATCTTTGATCATAATTTGGGATCTGTGTGGTCACGAATAAGAATAAATATATATAGATAGTTTTCTGCGTTTAGTCACACTTAGGATACTTTCGATTGGGAATTGGGAAGGCGTTGCACCTTCGACCTCACTGCTGTGGCACATACCTTGTGCCCCATAATGCCCTTCCAATCACTGGAGATGTGGGTGTGGGTGGGTGGGCTCACCTTGCGGTAGAAACGCGCCCCGGTGACCTTGTGGAAGCCCTTCTTGAACACCGCCTGATAGTCATCTGGGTGTGAGAATTTAAACAGAATGCCTGTAGCGGTTTTCGTCAAGCTGAAGCATCCCTTGAAGGCCATCTTCTCGCAGATGAGGGCCGCCCGCTCCATGGACAGCTCGTAGGATGGGGTCAGTAGGAAGGCGCCTGTAAGTACGATTCCGCTCTGGTTAGCCTACGTGGTTAGTCTCTCCAGCTACCGGATTAGTTTGGTTTTTATTCGGATTTGGATTTGGATTTAATCGTCATGCACTAGAAACCAACTTCGGCAGGCCAAAGTTTATGGGCTAATAGCCTTGCAGTTGAAAAGTCGAATTTTCCTGATTTATTTCTCTAATAGATATAATACTTATATATATAAAAGATTTTCTGATAGCTGAGTTCTATCTATATTTTAAAAATTTCCAATACATTTGAATTATCTTTCTAAACTCTAAACTAAAGTAAATTCAAATATTTAAGTTTATAACCAACAATCGTTTAGATATTATATATTTATATTATATATTTTTTGAATATTATATAAGAACCAAAAATCTTTGATAATTATTTTCCAAAAATGTGTATACGAACTATACAATATAAACATTTGCATTAGAAAAGTCAATTTTTGGGAACTTTTAACTATGAAACAGTCACTTTAGATATTATATTAGAACCAAAAAACTTTTAAAATTATTTTCCAAAAATGTGTATAGCAACTATACGATATAAATTAAAAAATACCATTTTTGAGAACCTTTAACTATAAAACAGTCACTTAGAAACTCGACCGGTTTAGATACCCAAAACTTCGGAATATGGTGTTATATAAAATCAACTGCAAGGTAAATTCCAGGGGATTAGGAATAAGGAATTAGGTGTTAAGGGTTAAGGGTTAAGGGTTGGTTAGTGCTGGGTCATGGCCACCTTTGGTCAGAAAGTTATCCGGCGACGAGACCTCCGAGTCGGAGTCATCCTCCCGCTTGTCGGTCCACTTGGGCTCCGCGGATAGCTTGTGGGCCGCCACCTTGGTGACGATGCCCGTGGAGCGCTGCCTCGGGAACTCGTTCTTTTCGCACTCCAGATCGGATGTGTTGCCCAGGAACGACATGTTCGCAAAAGATATTTAAGGTGTCGAAACGAAAGGAAACAGAAACAGAAAAAAAAACAGACACTTGGTGACACTCGAAAAATCGATTCGAAAACGGTTTTTGGAAAATTCGATCGCAATTCGCTCAGGCGGCAGGCGGTTGGCGGTTGGGGCGATAATTTTGAGGCAACTGAAATGTAGCTGCGCTTTCGAAGCGCTTTTATACGGTCCGCTGGGCCCGCTTCGCATCGCATCTTTGGCTTCTAGGTTTGGGCACCGATCAGCGGAAAGAAAGTCCCACACACTCATACAATTCGGGTCAAAACGGCAGCACATTAAGCTGGAATCTTCGAATTTCCAAATTTTATGTCACTTATATTCGATAATTTAATTTATTAAAATCTTTTAAATGGGTGATTAATTGTTAAAACCAATTTTTAAAATATATTTGAATATTTAAGGGTTGACTAACTTATTTAAAAAAGACAACAAGTCGTATACGCAATTTTGCATGTTCCTTTAAAAAAATCACGTATACGTATCAAGGTTTTTTTGCATAAAAACATTAAAATGTAATTAAAAAGACCTGGGGAAAGGGATAATTTGTCAATAGCTCTTAAATTTCAATTCTAACTTACAACTATATATGAAATCAACAAATATTTTGATATTAACTAACACGTCGTATACGCAATTCCTTAAGTTGCTCTTAGAAAATTAAGTATACGTAAAAACTAAGTTGGTCCAAGAACTTGTAACTAAGTTTTTAGTTCATAAATTTGATTTCTTAGCTAGAAATATAAGTGAAAATAACAAATGATTATGGAAACTAACAGATTTTCATGGTTTCATGAACGCTTCTACCGTTTTCACCGGCACTGTGGCCCCGGGTTATGCGATCATGTCGGATGTCTCTCAAATTGGAAGTTGGTTCTTACAATTAGACGACGGCGCATTATTGTTTGTTATTGATCCTCTCCCGGTGGAGTGGGCGACTGCGACTCAAGAATGGGATTGGATTGGTGCCCGATGCCCGATGGGTTCGGATGATTCGGATGATCGGGTGGTCGGGTGGCCGCAGGTTGACGCCATCGACATCGCCATATAGCCAAGATCACGCTGCGGCGGCGCCAACTGTTGCGTAAAATTCAAGAACACGGCTGTTCGCCCAAAAATGGTGGCACATGGGCCAGCGAATTGCGAATTATATAACGAGCGGATCGGTTATGGGCAGTCGGATATCATCAGCTGGCGGCAAAAGGAGTCCAAACGGGATCAAGGGCGTCGAGAAGTTCGATTCGGGCCTTGGGACTTCAAAATGCCCGGCATAAATTGGCCCTCGGCTAGGAAAGAATCTTCGATAGACTTGAGAACACATCGTTATCGTATAAGGCATTAACCTTAACATCAGTTTATGTCATCATATCTATATCCCAATCAGCTTTGTTTCAAAATCACAACCAAACATTTGTCATTTTATAATATGTGGTTTATTAATAAATTATTTTATTTAAATTAATTTTGTCAGTTTTCATTTTTGAATATTTATAATATTTTGTTTGCTTCTTTGTTTGCCTTCTTTCGTTTAAACAAAATGTGTCCTTCGCTTAATAATATTATAATAATCATAGTAATAATAATAATAATAATAGACTACTAAAGTGTTTTACATGGCAACATTTAATTTCATTTCGTTTCGATTCAATTCGATTCGATTGGAGTTTCGTCTCGCTTTTCGGTTGCTCTGGATTGGATGGGAAACAAGGTCCTAACGATCGGAAGGATCAGCTTTAACTGATTGAGGGAACTGAACAGCAAGCAAATGTGTAGATATTTTCTTCTTTTTCTATACGTTGAAAAGGGGGGATTGGATTGAAGTGGATTTCACTGATCGAAAGTGTTATACAATTTGTATGATTTTCATATATATATATATATTTTTTATAATCTTTATACGCTGTTTATATATGGGTGTGTATTTCACTATATAGTAATATAAGCATTTTTGTGGAGATCACTCTGAGTGTGTGTGTGTGTGTGGGTTTGCTTGCTAAAAAAAAAAACACATCTGTTTTCGGGGGAGGGGCGGGGGATAAATCATATATCACTAGCTCTTAAAAGACATGCGCTGCCAATAACAACAAGAATTGAGTATTATCTGCTCCGTCTTTAACTTTACCGTTTACCATTTACCGTTTATCGTTTACCGTTTACCGTTAATCGTAATCGTTATTTTCTGTTTCTGGGGGTAAGCACACATTTACATACTTACATACATACATACACAACAACTACGTTAATAACCGATACAAATGTTAACAATTATGCGGCGGATCGATCGATATATGTAGATGTATATATATCGCTTATCGCTTAGAGTTTTATCTTTTTTCTTCTTTGAGGGGGCGGTGCAAATCAGCGGGGTTCCGGGGGGCGGGGCAACTAGGCATTATCTCGAAGCGGGGATTTCAGGCAGGTGGGACATTCATAGAACTTACATGGCAAAACATTATATTCGTATAGTACTTTCTTCCAATTCACTCCGATAATTTTAGCTCTCCTTAGCGTAATTAGTTTTTTGGATTGTTTATGGTTTTGGTTTTGCTTTTTGTGCCAAGCGTACACACTCATATATATTCAATTCAAACATATATGTATTTAATTTGTATGTATATTTAAGTATAGCCTAGTTTTGTTTTTTTAATCCATTTTTTGCAAAAAGCAGCATAAACAACTTTTGTGATTTTTCATTTTTCCTTTTGCTTTTGTATAATTTTTTTTCGATTATATTATATTATATGAATAGTTTGGGTTTTTTTTTTTAGTTGCTGCTTGCATTACACTTAGCCGGCTATATAGGTAGTATTATTAACTAGATAAATCGATGATTTTCCAAGTTTCAATGGGTTCGACAAAAAAATCAGAAGTTTCATTTTCATATTTTAAGTGCATTTTCTCTTTTTGTATTTTCGTGTATTTTTGCTTTTTGTTTGTGGTTCGATATTACATACATAAATACATACAGCTTAGGTTTAAGGGGGCGGGGGGCGTGGCAGGGGGCGGTAAAAGCTTGCCTTGACTATATAAAACTATGAGTGTGTGTGTGTATGTTTGTGTGTTTGTATGGTGGGGGTGGCAAAACGAATATAAAAAACGCTTTGAACTGACTAGATTTAAATAAATTTCGCCTTAACTTACGGTCGAAACATGCTAAACAATAATGTATAATATAATATATAGGTGTATATATTTAGTAAAAAAAACGTTAAGTAGGTAGGTATATAAAAGTCTTTGCATTGGAATCTTTAAACACATATGTATAAGAGGGATTGAAACGATCCGCGAATTGAAGCCAAGCGTTTTATCTAGGTTTAAAATTCTGCCTCACTTTTCCTCAAATTTTTCTAGTTATTTTTGTTGTCTGGTCTCCATTGAATTATAGATCGATCAGCTAAGATAAGACTAAGTTTCCTAATGGAGGGAGGCTGGTTTCCTTTCATTTACTGTCTGTCTGTCTAACAAGCAAGCTTGGAAGAAAGCTTGTGCTAAGCTCGATGCTAGCCGAAATCGAAATCAATCGCTGGATTGATCACCGTACTTCTGGGCGTGTGGGTAGTAAAGTTATATAAAGTTATACATATGGCACTGGTAAATGCTGGAAGCTTCAATAGGCCTAAATCTCACTTTCACTTTCACTTACACTTTCACCAATGGCAGTGCAGCTCGACTGAGAGGGGGTTCAAATGTTTGTGCGGACTAGGATCGGATAGGATATGTCATATATATAGTGTGCTATACTGTTACTGGGACACAAAGAAAGCGGGGTGTCAAACAATTGAGTCTAGTTCTATATGCTAATGATATTACAGGTCGAAATCAAAGGGATTGTGATGTGTCCTTTGTGTATGCGTGTGGTTTAGCAGTCCTTAGATCGATAGAGAGCAACTCAAGTATAAGTTTAATAATATGCACAGTGCGTTGGCGGTCTATAAAGCCAGGCTACAGTTCGTTTCTCGTCAGAAGATCCTATTTCGATCATAATCTCATGGCTCATAGCTTTATAGCTGCGAAACGCACTGCACTCCTAACACGTTATGTACAGTACAGTGCAATAAATGTCCAAAAGTCTGTTGCAAGGACTACAAATTTAGTTTACAAACAATGCATTCTGCGCCTTTTGTTTATAGGCTTACAAAAAATCAGTTATAGATTGCTTAATTTCGTTTTACAATTGTTTGCTTTGCTTTTGTTTATCGTTTCATTCAGCTTTGTTTTCGTTTTTGCTTTTTGTTTTTTTGTTTTTTGTTTTTTGGACGGAACAATTTACAACATATGATTATGAAACAATGGGGGAAACGAACATAATACTTAGATGGCCTCTAAAATATAAACTAATCGGATGAGACACTTATGCGTACGGATACAGATAGAAATACAGATAAAGATACAGATGCAGTTACACATTAGAGCTTACAAACGAAATTAAACAGACTTAGAGGAAAACGAAAGAAGACAAAAAACGCGATTAGTGGCTACAAGTATGATTTGCTAATGGAATGAAGTAGCTTTCGGGTGCTATGATATACATATATCATTTTATATATGGTAGCCGTATATATATCGATAAGGAAAACGAACAGATGCAATTACATATAGTTACGTGTTGATTGGCTTAGAAAGAGAGCGCGCGTGCGACACACAAGTGAATGAATATATCGTAATATATATCGTAATCTATATATCGTTATATAGTATCTCTATATGGGTAGAGGGGTACGTTAGCCATTCTAGGAGGGGGAGGACTTGGCGTATCCTGACGGCATTTCATTTAGATTTATCTGTGTGTGTCTGTGTGTCTAATTTCACTATTCCAAGTATGGCTTTTTGAAGTAATTTTGCACTTGTTCCTTTTTCTCGTTGGTAATAAATACAATAATGATAATCATAAGACAAGATAATAATAATCGTAATAATAATAATGGTAATGATAATAAATATGCACGTATGCTATAAATATGGTAAATTTGTTATATAAAGCTTGGATCGCTCGGTAATATCATATAATATTTGGTTACACATTTCCCCTATTTGTGATTCGGTTCTGTTTTCTGTTCGGATTTTTTCCTTTCCTTTCCTTTTTCAATGCAATCGATCAAATAAAGCTCATAAGCGTCTATATATTATGTGAGTTGTGTGTTTTGTGTGTGTGTTTCTCTTTTCTAGTTTAGATTTATGATTGGTATTTAGGTATTAGGCTTCAATAACCAACTTATAAAGCGATGTTTTCTGTTCGAGTTTTCTTTTCGTTTTTCGATAATGCAGCATTTTTTGGGTTATCCTTTCGATTTTTTGAATTCTTTAAATTTTAGCGCGCGCTTTATAATCATAAATATATATATGTATATATATATTTGTATATAGCATGTATATTATTCAGTTTTTAAGTTCTAGCGACTTTTGGGAGCGGTGCCCGGCACATTTTGGAAACTCTCCTCTTTTTCTCTAATTCTCTCTGTCGCTATCTCCCTCACTTTCGCTCTCTCTTTCTTTCTCTGGCGCACACACACGCACACAAAACGCACTCACATGCACACACAACAGAGAGAATATATAGGATATGCAAGATCGGGCCGAGATCGTGTGAATATATATATAAATATAGAGAAGTTGATTGGAAACAGACGGATCAGATAGAACGACATTATCTAAAGATGCGCGCGCGTGTGTGTGTGTGTGTGAAGCGAAGAGAATGGAAAATGGAAAATGGGAAAAATGTGTGGACTAAGCTATGCTTTAGATGGCTGATCCTTAACTACACCATAGTACTTATGCAGATACTGATACAGATACAGATACAGTTGCTGAGATATAGATAGTTTGTATACTATATATGGCTGCCCGTCGATTCCGATTGTGTCAGGCACGCGCTCCTCGAGATACTTTTGGATTATCCCCACGTTTACATATGCCTATAGGTGTATGCTTTTTAATATGAACTTAGCCTAGCAATAAATATGTTTCTCCTTCTGCTTCGTCGTATTTGCTTTTTCTTTTCTCCCTTCTTGCTCGGTTGATTCCGTTTCCGTTTCCGGTTTGCCTTTTTTCGACCTCAGCATGGATTGTTTGTTTTCTTTCCTAGTGATTGGAGCGACCTCATGATTTCCGTTTCGAGTACTGGGGATATTGCTAGAATTGCTTTTGCTTAGAACTGCCTGCTCTCGATGTCCAACGCTCCATCGTAGGCATCGAATGCTTCATCGGCTGCTCCTGCTCCTGCTCCTGGCTTCTTTGCGGTGATTGCCGTGGCCGTTGCCACACCGGCGACCAGCTCGTCGAGCAGCTGCATCTGCTTGCGAGTGGGCGAGCTTAGGGGCGTGGCAACCGTCTGATATCGGTGATGGAACGTGGACAATATATCGCGAATTTTAGCAATGATCTCCTGTACTCAGGCATTTGACTCCTGCGGAAGGCGAAATAAATGAATTAGAATTACATTCCTTAAAGAAATAGTTATAAATATAGAAAAATAAAAAAACGCGAATTCTTTAGATCTCTAGATGATCAAGCAAACAATGAGTACAATGAATATGGAATACAATTGGATCAATTAGAACTGCCTATAATAACATAAATATGGATTTATAAATTCAAAATGTTATAATTATAGAAAAAATAACGAGAATTCTTTAGATCTCTGGTAGAGCCCTGCATGAATCATTCAATTTTTGTTTTATCATAGTATGCCATGAAATTTCTGATTTGTTTAATTCAATTCTATGTGAAATAAATTGAATGTTGTTCTAATTCATTTCGAATTGAATGAATTGAATGAATTATTTTATGAATTTGTTGAATTTTTCAGATTATATTTCTGTTTTCTTTTGAGAACAAAAAGTGGAAAATTTTTAACAAATCAATGTTAACTGCATAGTAAATAAAATTCAGGCAGATTTAATCACAAAATTATGGCCCTTTCTTCTTCAAAATAAATTGTCGTTTGAATTATTTCGGAATTCATGCCATTCATTCATTCAATTCTATTAAACTCAAAATTCAAATTCATTCAATTCTATTAAACTCAAAAATTCTAATTAATTCATTCATATAACAAAAAAAATTCAAAATAATTCATTGGATCCATTCATGCAGGGCTCTAATCTCTGGATAAGAAAGCAAACAATGAGTACAATAAATACAGAATAAAAATGGTTCAACTAGAATTGCCTATAATAACAAATAGATTACATTTCTTAACGAAAATGTTGTAATTATAGTAAAATAAAAACGCGAATTCTTTGGATCTCTTGATAAGAAATAAACAATGAGTACAATAAATACGGAATACAAATGGATCATCTAGAGTTGCCTATAATAACATATAGATTACATTCCTTAAAGAAAAAGTTATATATATAAAAAAATAAAAACGCGAATTCTTCAGAATAAACATCAAAAATGCCAACCAATCTCACCTTTAGGTTGTCAAAGTAGTGCATGATCTGCTCGTAGTCCATGTCGAGGTCGTCCAACCCAAGACGCTCGCCGGGGGCGACGGACTCATCGACGGTGGCCGAGAACATCGGATTGCCCACCACGGTGGCGCGTTTGACACGCGACGATTTCGTGGTGGGCTCCTGGCTAACGGCGCTGGGTGGCAGCCGCATGATCTCGTCCGTTCCATTCGAGTTGGCCGCATCCACAGTGCTGTTGGCCATGCTGTGGTTCTCTGTTGGCATTAATTAATCGTTAGGATATATATAATATATGATATGTTTTAATCCCTACCCTTAGCTTTGCCCTGGACTGATGCTGCTGTGGACGGCGTTGCCGGCGAGGACGCGGCTGCTTTGGTAACTCTCTTTGGTGTCAGCGAATCGAACTGAAATGCGTTCTTCTGGTGCGGATTCGTGTACTCCACCAGCTTCTCGGCGTTGTGCAGCTCCTCGTGCTGCTGCTGCTGTTGTTGCTGCTGCTGCTGCTTTATTTTATTGTGCGCCGCCTTGATGAGTGGCTCCTGGCTGAAGTTGTGGCTATGGCTATGGCTGCGCTGATGCTGATGGGGATGGGAATTGGGATTGGGATGGGAAAGGGGATGGTGGACTTGCTGATTCGGCTGCTGGTTGGTTGCATTGTTATCGCTACTGCTGCTCTGCAGATGTTCCCTTTTGTACAGCTGGCTGTGTCGCTTGTTAGCCGCCTCCTTTGCGGATCCTCCTGAACTGGGCAGAGGCTGAACCGGCAGACAGGCGCGTGAGCCCACATTCCTATGCGGCGGCACTGGCGGCTTGTAGTCCAAGGCATTGTCCCTGCGCTCGTTGGCCAGATAGCTGCAAAGTAAACCCAGTTTAGAGTGGGCTGATTGGTGGTCAAATGCAAACACAATACTCACTGGTCGGCGGCGTGCTGCTTGTTCAGATTCGAGGCCGGCACAATGTGCGTCTGCAGCTTGGGCTGCTGGTCAAACGAGCTCACGCGTCGTCCATTATCGTAGTTCACAATGGGATTGCTGGTGATGCGCATGCGGGAATCTAGGGATTCACAATTAATATAACAAACGATAAGTATAAAATTAAATCATATTTTACCGCGTGGATTCAGATGCGTGTTGGTCTCCGCCACAATCGACTGACGATCGATGGTGGAGCGACCCAGCCAGACCCAATCGTGGGCATTCGTGGTCGACTCCTTCAAGCGCACATCCCGGAAGCCACCTCCTCCTCCTCCGTTCGACCCATTGCCCTTGCCCGCCGACAGCGGATCCAGGCCAGATTCAATCATGGCCGGCCGGAATTTGGAGGCATACACCACGCAGGAGATCACAAAGACAATGATGGCGAAGCAGAAGGCGGTGAGCAGGACGTACATGCCCAGTTCCATGGTGGTCATGGTCCCAGTGCCGCCGATACCCTTGCCATGATGACCTTTGTGGACAGCTTGGATGCTGCCGCGATGCTGACGCGCCTGAACAGTGGGCTCGTACAGCTGGCTGGAGTCCCGCAGGGGAATGCCCACTGAAAAAGGGGAAGGTTAAGGATGAGTTTTACATAAGAAACAAGAAAGGTAGCAGATAATTCCTATTAATTTACAAATCGCAAAAAAGTTCAATTTCCTATTATTTCTCATTAATTTTTCGATTATCCTATGACAGCTACATGATTTAATAGTTTAATTTTGATAAAATTAAAATCGAAATTCGGAAATATTTAAAAAAAAAACATTTGCCAGAGTAGAGAGAATACAAAAAAAAAACCAACAAAGCAATAATTTTTTTCATATTAACTTTAATTTAAGTTTCCGACTGTTCCTATGGCAGTTATCCTAAATTTAATTCGAAACTCGGAAATATTTAAAAAATAATAATCCCAAGAGTAGAAGGTAATATTTAAAAAAAAACAACGTTTTTTTTCCGATCTTTCCTATGGGAGCTAAAAGATATAGTTGTCCGATCCAGCCGGTTCCAACTTATATACTACCTGCTATAGAAAGAAGACTTGGGAAAGTTTCATCCCGATAACTTAAAAACTGAGAGAATAATTTGCGTGGAAACGGACGGACAGACGGACATGATCAAAAATATTTGTACTTTATGGGGTCGGAAACATCTCCTTCAATGCGTTGCAAACTTTTGACAGAAATCATAATACCCCTTTTGCAAGGGTATAAAAATCATAGTAAATAAACCCACCTATAATATCAGCCAGATCTCCGGTTTGCCTGTAGTTCTTCCTCTCCCTGCCCACTGTGCCATCGTTCTGGATCGCCTCCTGCTTGCTCACGATATCCACGTTGTTGAAATCCACCTCGATGGATGCGAGGGCACTGGCCAGCGGCGCAGCATTCGATTTGTTCTGCTTGGAGCTGCTCAAAGTGCCCCTTCGCTGGCGACACTCCTCCGAGAGCAGCAGGGTGACGCGCAGCAGGTTGCCATTGCCCTCGCCGACGGCGATGACGCGCGGATGATGGGAGGCCAGCATGGGGGCAAAGGCCACCACCTCGGTGTCCAGGCTCTCCACCAGCAGGAAGTAGTCCTCCACGGCAATGTCGCTAAGGGAATAATAGGGTTTTTCATTACATTTCTATAATTTTCTATAAACTAAACCAACCGCAGTGGCGTCTTCGAGCCATCGGTGAACTCCAGATCGATGTCGAGCAGTCCCTCCTGATACTGAGCGGTCAGCTTGTGGGTGACGGAGGTCTCCGCCAGGTAGCCATTCTCAATTGTGTTATCCGGACTGATTGTCAGCTGCAGGCCCGAAATGACGCGCACAATGAGCTTGGATAGATTCACCTTATCGCTGCCCACGCGAATCTCCTTGGTGCCAATCACGCGACCCGTGATGGGTGACAAAACCTGCACATCGGTGCGTCCCATCGACTTGCCCTGCAGAATGCGACCCTTCAGGGAGGCAATCTTGGGATCGGCCACCCGGAGCAGCGGCTGCACCAGATCCGTGACCCTCAAACCCGTTCGCCTGGAGATAAAGTAGCTGGTGCGTCCGGAGTTCTGTTTGTGGGGTGGAAAGAAGCGGTTTTAATATATTGTGATTATTATATCGTGGAACCCAGAAGATCTCACCTGATCCACCGCCAGGAATTTGGCGTACACCTCCACGGGACTCTGCTGATAGCGAGCCCGACAAACCGTCTTGTCTGCCCCCAGATTGTTGTAGTAGTTGGTTCCATGCTGACCCCAAACGTAGGATCTCTTCTTCCTGCGCCGCGACTGCTTGTTGTGGCTTTAATAAGGTGAAATAGGAAGATTAGCGGGGGGTGCATAGTAAAAAAGTAACTAATACAATATAATATTTAAATATTGTGTAACTATAATCTAACTAAAATCATATAATATTAAAATATTGTATAAATGTAATACAACTTAAACCATATAATATTAAAATATTGTAGAAATAAATTATATGATTAAAATAATATATATACCAATAAATAATGATATTGAGTAAATATCCATATGATAACTTTAGGCTTATTTACCATTAACATTTAAATATTGTATAAATATAATTTAACTAAAACCATATAATACTAAAATATTGCACAAATATAATATAACTAAAACCATAAATGATTAAAATGTGTTATAAATATAATACAACTAAAATAATATATATACGTATAAATAATCCATATAATATCCATATGATAACTTTTGACTTATTTATAATTAATATAAAAATATTGTATATTTAAACCATATAATATAATATGTAGGCATATAAATAATAATTTAGTATACAAAAAATCTATATAGCTTAAGGCTTATTTTACATTAATTTCATTTAGCTGGAGTCTACAAATATTATATTTCTCTTAAATCAAACTAATTATGAACAGAAAAAACTTTATATTACTTCAGGACTTACAATGAATCAGCTGAAAACCCATTAGTTTGCTTTTAGACTATAATCTTAAGTTAGCTTTATATAAACAATGTAATATTCCTATTTTTAGAGACTGTTGTAGTAACTTAATTTTGACATTAAAAAATCCAAACCAAATTCGAAAATTAATAAAATTTTTACCAAACTATAAAGGTAATATAATAATATAGATACTTTATATCATATAGCATATGTCTGAATTTAGAAACGCGACTCACAGATAGTGATTGTCATCGGTGACTTTCCATCCCTTGATTTGTGAGAGACGGAAGTCGGATATGTAGACCTCGAGGGGGAATTCGGGCATCCAGACGATGAACTTGGCCACGCCCACATAGGTGCCGTACTTGACGATAACGGAGGCGTTCGAGGAGCCCCGCTGCTCGGAGCCATCCACATAGACGGAGCTGCAGGAGGAGGAGACCTAAAAAGAAACTAGTTACTTAACCATTCATTCAATCTATCTAATATATAAACCCACCTTGATCACACTCTCATCCTCCGCGTGACAGGAGCTCTGGAGCGTCACATCGGCCACCTTGCCCGCCTGCGAGACGATGAACACCTTCATGGCCTGGGCCACCTGCCTCCCAGTGAGCACCGCCGTGTTCATCACCTCCCAGATCTTGGCCATCGGCAGCACCGCCTGTATGTCGTCCTTGTTGATCTCCAGCTTGGCAATCAGTCGCTTCTTGTTGTCATCCGGTATCACTAGTTCCCCGGAATCCTTATCCTTGGGCGTATCATACACATGGGTCACGGACCACACAATCTTCCCGCCATCCACAATATCGTTCGAATCCTCGGCCACCTCGAGCAGCCAGGAGAAGACCTCGAAGACCTCGCTGGTTAGGTTCGCCGCCTCCAGACTGGAGGATTCGGCGGCGGCCTCCTTGCGGAAGGCCGTCACCCGGGCGGTGGTATGCTTGGGATTCTCCTTCTCCACCGAGACGCTCCACTGATCCGTCGATGCGGTGGCTCCCAGGATCCTCAAACCCGCCTTCACGCGAGCTCGCACGGTGAAGGCAGCCACCCGCTGGTCGGGATACTGATGCAGGAAGACGGGCACATGGAGGCGGGAGAGCGGATACAAAGGATGTTGCGGCAGGAGGAAGGTCACCGCATCGTCGGCGCGCAGCATGCGATAGGGAGTCCTGGCGGCCAGCAGGGGAACCTGAGCGAACGTGGTCAACGGTTGGATCTGCACCTTGGGCTCACATTGCTCCGGATTCCTCAGCGGCGGCTCGAAGACGCTGTAGGAGACCTGCGCATAGCGTTGCGGCACCTTGGGCGCCGTCGCCTGGCCACTGCCATCTTGACTGGGAGCCGGTAGCTGTGGCCACCAGCCGAGGGGAACCACCACCTCGGCCACGCACACGCCATCCTCGCCCTCCGGCATGCAGCGTCCCTTGAGCGGCTGCTCCGAGGCCATGGCCACGTGCAGCAGGACGCAGACCTTCTGGCGCTGCAAATGGCCACCGGGATCGGCGCCGGCATGGAAGAGCACCCGCAGCACAGGCGAATCCTGCGAGACGCTGTTGCGCACCAGATGGGCCGAGATATCCAGATGCATGTTGGGCTGCTGCAGCTCCAGGAGGGTGGCATTCTGTGGATGGGATGATCAGAAAAGAGAATTTTCTAGCCAGGATCTAGACTTACGCTCATGTAATCGCCCGACTGGCTGTCCATTGTGTCCGGCACAATGTAGCGGGCCGGCACCGTTTGCTTGGTGGAGAAGGGTCCGTAGCTGGCGCGTATGGAGACGGGCTGGGTGGTCTCCACGACGGTGAATCTGTCCAGGGAGAGCACCGAATCGTAGGTGGATCGTTGACGGAGCGGCGGAACCGCCGAGGAGGTCGGCAGATTGGCTATTTCCGGCGTGACAGGTGGTTGGCGGGCGTGCTTCAGGAAGAAGCCGCTGTCCGGAGCCTCGAAGTGCACCTCCACGGAGTCTGGCGGGGATTGGGTGGGGATTTGCGGGGGGTAGAGAGCGGATTAGTGGTTTTTCAAAGGGTTAGAGGCGGAGGAGGGTTTTTCCAGGTGGAGGTCACCTGCTCCTCCTCCAGATCCCCTAGATTTTTCGTTAATATTCAACAATTTCATTACTTACATGCCAAGGATAGTTGCAATGCAATCAGCAGGCAGATTCTCATCATCTTGCTCGTGTGCAGGAATCCAAAATGTGGCGAAATCCTGATGTCCTGCGGCCACCCACTCGCTAATTTGCTAATTAACTGCCTACGCACTCTCGTTATTTTCAAAAAGTTCTCTCACTCGCTCTCGCTGGGCGCCCACTCGTTGGGCGTTTTTTTTAACCGTTATTTAGTTAGTTAATCGGGGCCAAAAGTTAACCGTTAATTCGCTCTTTTCGTCCTTTTTTCTCGCTCAGCAATCCGCAGCACATCCTTTATTGATTCTTTCCAGTGTGCCCACACACCATCACACACACCCACACACACACACGCACTCACACTGCCGTGGCCCTCCTCGCACACAGATACACATGCACATGCAGGTATAGACACATCTTCTTCTCCTGCAAATCGCAATTTAAGAATCGCGCAGTTTTCGATTTAATTGCCAACCGATTCGATTCGATTTTCACACTTCGCTGCCCGCTTTTCACGCGCTGCCAAGGAACTGCTGGGCTGGGAAATCCCTCTATTGACGCCCTAATGCATGCCTCTTTTTCATTCAGGTCGCTCAGAATTTAACACAAATATCGAACATTTCCAAACACTAGTGGCGAGGCATCGATGTTGGCATCGATGTTTTCGAGTCATCGATAGGTCTTTGGCAGGACATCATCGATTGAAAAGGACACTTGTCAACCGATAGAAAAGCTTAGAGTATTTTTTGAATTTTAATAATGTAAATAATATGCTAAAAGAAAATAAAAATATTTAGATTATATATTTTCCTTAATCTTAATATTTCTAATCAAAAAAATTATTAGTAATAACATAAATTTAAATGGTTGAAGTATTATTTTGACAGACTATTAAACTTTCTAGTTAAACTACTATTTTCTTGGGCATTCCCTATTTTTCAAAACAATTAAATCGTTATTTTCACATTTAAATTAGAATTTCCAATTAGCAATTAGAGATGGCTCAAAAATTGTGCGATAGGTGTATGTACGCGCTACGTGGTACTTTTGGTAGTATATAAATACCGCAAAAGGTCCTAAAATTGGATGTGGTATTTTTGATAGTATATAAATACCGGAAAATCCCGGCGAAAAAACGTCCTAAAATTGGAAGTGGTATTATTCTTCGAACATTTATAAAAGACAAAAGTGCAGCTGTCCGGTTGCATTGACGAAAACTCCTAAAGTATTAAGCACCCACATTCTGCAGCTGTGAGTATGAATCGATTTGGGCCGCAATCAGGCGGAAAACACGAGTAAAATAAGAAATAAGAAAACTTTAATCCCAAAGGGCGCTGCCCTTTGTGGGTGTGCGTCTGTGTGTGAGTGTGTGCGTATGAGTCAGCGCGCAAAAGAAAACAATTGTTTTTGTGTTAAAAGGCCATTTGAATGCTCGTCTGAAAGTGATAAATCAACAGAGCGACCAACATTTGGCTACTCAAGTGGAATTGGGGCTTCGGTTTGTGTTTTTTTCGGGCCTTTTAAGGCCTTAATTGAAAGTGCTGGTGTGTGTGTGAGAATGTTTTCAATGAGCCGAATGCGTGTTGTTGTTTTTGTTAACCGCAGTTCAGCAGCATTGAATTGACAAACACCCATACAACTGCACTCGCACTCGCGGAGAGAGAGCAAAACTCCCATACGTGTCAGTTTTGGTTTGCGCGAGTGACTCAGAGAAGCCGAATCTGCGCATGTGTGCGTGCATGAGTCGCACACACAGTGCGCACTCGATACAGTGGACCGATTATCGATCTCACCCGATAGCTTCAAAACTTTGGATGTTGCGTTATCAAAAAACTTGCTTTGAATCCTAAATTTTTTAAATTTCAGCTTGCTTACAAAGTATCTGTATTTAAAAGTCTCCTAAAATTCAACATTGTCTTATTGTAGTTGGGAATTTTTTTACCTGTGATATCAAAATTAAAAACATTAAGTCTCTTGTAAACTTTTTGCATTGAAAATCATAATTTAAAGCAGTCAATTTAAACGAAATTTACCTGATCTTTCATATATACATAATAAGATAAGATATTAATATTCGATATTATATTATATAAATGTTTATAAAAAGTTACTTTCAAAACTTCTGATTCTAGCCAATTTAAACGAAATTTATATGATCTTTCATATATAATTACATCAATAAGATATTATTATTCGATTATAAAAACTTATTTTAATCTTCTGCTTATGGGTAATAAAACATAAAATGGAAATAAAAATTCCAATAATAATATTTACCATATAGAGCGCCCACTGTATGTTGACACAGTTTGTTTGGGGAGCAATGAAAATCGGTTTCAGCGGAATTCACTGCAATATGTCTATATATAGCCATAAATACATACCCGCCCGTCCAACGAAATGCTAATGTGAGTCGTCGCTTGTTTCGTTTTCAGATCCACGCCGCACACAACACATCACTCCAGCGCGATTCACTAGCTCCGCCGGCTCCATTTGCCTCCATTAGCTACCCTTAATTACCAAATCCAGCAACCAACTAGCCATGTCATCCCGCAAGACCGCCGGACGTCGTGCCACCACCAAGAAGCGCGCCCAACGCGCCACCTCCAATGTCTTCGCCATGTTCGATCAGGCCCAGATTGCCGAGTTCAAGGAGGCCTTCAACATGATCGACCAGAATCGCGATGGCTTCGTGGAGAAGGAGGATCTGCACGACATGCTGGCCTCGCTGGGCAAGAACCCCACGGACGACTACCTCGACGGGATGATGAACGAGGCGCCCGGACCCATCAACTTCACCATGTTCCTCACGCTCTTCGGCGAGCGGCTGCAGGGCACCGATCCCGAGGACGTGATCAAGAACGCCTTCGGCTGCTTCGACGAGGAGAACATGGGCGTCCTGCCCGAGGATCGCCTGAGGGAGCTGCTGACCACCATGGGCGATCGGTTCACAGACGAGGATGTAAGTTGTGGCGTCTTGGAGTCACTTAAAATATTTGTTTAATAATTATGATAGTTCAGCGATCGATTTAAGAGTGATTCCACTTTTTGTTGATACTTTTAAATGGTTTATTTTGATAGGAACGTTGAACCTTGTAGCAGGGACCGAAAATTACTGTTATTGTAAATTTTTCTTACAAAAAAAATCACGCACTTAGAAGGGTCCTAGAATTTTTTTAAATACACCACTATTTTTATTAGCCATTGTAGCTTAGAAATCCGTAATGATTTTTATTTTTTGATTTTTATAATAATTTTTATAACAGTTATTCCCTTAACATTTTTGAAAAATGAAATAATTAAAAAAAACATGCTAACCGTGTTTTATATAACTTAGTAAAAATTTGTTAAAAAAGGCAACCGCGCATATGTTATAACTAAATTTTTTTAGAATTTATTTTACCCTTAAAATCGCCATAAATCAAGTTTGAGTTTTATTTTTTAATCACGACGAATAACTTTTATTTGTCAACATTTATTATAAAACTCCAAAAATAACAGTTATTCTTTGAGTTTTACTTTACAAATCAGAAAATAACTGTTGTAGAGTGATTTTTAAAATAAAACTTGTAGAGATTATTATTAAAAATCCATTTTCCCCTCCGCAGGTGGACGAGATGTACCGGGAGGCGCCCATCAAGAACGGCCTGTTCGACTATCTGGAGTTCACGCGCATCCTCAAGCACGGTGCCAAGGACAAGGATGAGCAGTAAGACGATCGCCAGGAATCGACGATCGCCCAGCCAGCTGCCTCCAATCAGCCTGTCCAAACTATATCCATCATGAGTTTCGTTTTTTGATAATTTAATATATATATATTTTTTTTGCTCTCGCGCCCTCTGTTTCTTTGATTCCTGATATATTCCTCATATATTCCTATTCCTGTACTTACCTGTGCATTTAAATTAAACAAAAAGTAGCCAACACAAGCGAATGTTATGTACGATATTGTAGTGTGTGGAGTTGGAGCCGAATAACACAATTTCCCCCCAGAAAAAAAAACCCCAACCCCTTTCATAAGTATTAACTCATTGAATATACATATATATTACCTATATACAAATACATACTTATACAAGAATGTGGCAATAAAAGTTTGTTTTTCTTACACCCAAAAATGTGCGCAAGGCAGCCCAAATAGATGTCTGCAGAAATCAACTGATCAAACAAGCGAAACTTTGGAATAACTTTTGGAAATATCTCTGTTAGTCAACAGTTTCTTGGAAACTCAACTCTCGAGGTCCAAAAAAAAACTCAATCTTCGAAGCACATATCTTATCTTTTGCCTGGGATTCCAAATATTTGAGTCACATCTTTTAATTCCGTCAACATGATGACGTTTAACCAGTTAAAATAATGTATAAAATGGCTTTTTAATCATGAAAATAATGTTTCACTAAAGTTACATAATTAAGAATTTAATTTATTTAAAAAATCGATAAAATAGATGGCTCTAAACATTTTATATTACAAACTTTAGGACAGTTGTTTATTAAAAAAAGGAACCATTTAAAAGGTATATTCCCAGGGATTACAAATGGATTAAAATGGCTTTTTAATCATGAAAATAATATTCCATTATAGTTTCATATTAAAGAGTTTAATTTATTTTAAAAATCCATAAAATAGATGGCTCGAAACATTTTATATTACAAACTTTAGGACAATTATTTATTTATTTAAAAAAAAAAAGAACAATTAAAAATGTATATTCTCAGGGATTACAAACAAGACACACTAAGCGTATTCTATGTACAAACAAACTAATGGCTAATGGCCTCTGCAGCAGATGGATCCAGCACAGCCCCTTGGATGGGATTACTCCACCTTCTTGGCCAGCGGCGCCGTGTCGAAGCGTCCCTTTCCGCTCTTCCTCTGCCGATAGGCGTCCCTCACCTGGTTGATCACGTTGGCGAAGAGTATGGTGCCGAAGAAGACCAGGATGGTGCCCAGCCAATGGTTGAGGGTGAAGGGATTCCGGAAGTAGATGATGGAGAACAGCAGCGAGACGAACTTGCGCAGGGTGACCACCAAGGTGACGGTCAGCGAGGCACATTCGGTGGTCAGCACGTAGACGGCGCTGATGCAAACATACTGGGTGACCACATTGCACAGCAGATAGAACAGCATCAGCGGAAATTTCCACTCCAATCCAAGGGCTCCGAGAAGGGGCACCGCCACCTGTTCCGAGGACCAGGCAATGCCAAAGTGCTGGACTATATTCCCTGCCATTATGAGGAATCCCGGCAGGGGCAGCATGTGCGTGAAGAAGAGCGCCTCGCTGGGATGCTTGCCGTACTTCTTGTATATCACCTCCTGGTAAATGCCCATATAGGCGGTGACCAGCAGGGCGATGGTCAGCAGGCCAATGCCCACGGACCACCAGAAGAAGTCCGAGTACGAGGTATCCACTTTGAGACTATGATGTGTGTTATCCTTGACGTCGCCGCTGGAGACCAAAGTGCAGAGTATTATGCCCGCCGTGATCATGGCCACGGAGCTGTATTGCCGCAAATTGTAGCGCTTCTTCAGCAGCACAATGCCCATGATCATGTTGGCCATCAGGGAGCCGCTGCGGAAGATCATGTGCAGCGGCATGGGTATATTAAAGTTGAACGCATAGTTGTTGCAAACGTTCGCCCCAAAGAACAGGGCCACCAGGATAACGTAGTCCTTGAGTGCGATCTTTGGGCGCACCGTAAAGAACTTGGACGTGAAGACGAGACCCTCCAAGGCGATGAACAGGAACTGGGCGAAGGTGATCAGGTTACCCGCTCCCGGATCGATCTGAATGATCAGCTCCAGGAAGACCACGTTGCTGCAGCAGCCGATGAACACGAACAGCATGCCCAGCAGGGCCTTCATATTGATAGCCATATCTGAAAAATACAACATTTCGAGGATTAGAAAAGGTTTTTAAGAAATTTGTTAAAATTATGTAGGGTAGAAAAATTTATAAAATCATTTTGTATTCATATAAGAAATATTACATTTTTTTATATATATTTTATATTATATTTATGCAAATAATATATAATATAATGTAAAATTACTTATATTAATACAACATATTTTTAGAAATTTTTGGATCTTATTTAATTTATATACTAAATTTTAAAATCAAAACCACTCCCCAAAAACTAACCATTACTTAAAGTTAGGTATTGTCACGGTTTCGAATTATATGGTTGCGTTTATAATAAAGTACGTGACAATAAAATGTTATGGTTTTTTTATTGCCTAGCCTTTACGATAAACTATTATTCACCGAAACTATGATAGAATATTAAAAAGATTTTAAGACACCTCATTAACCGAAACACGAACAATCAATGTAACATCCCCTGTTTAATTTTGATTTTCTGGGCACTTTGTCAAGTGTTTGTTCTGATTTTATCTCACATGTAAAACAATCTGTGTTATCAGTTATGTTGAAGGGAAAATACAATAGGGGAGTGAAGTATGTATTGTAGTAGTGTATTTATTAAATAAATTCTTAGAAAATCAATTAAGATGGATAATTACGGTTTCTGGCTTTAAAAGAGATATTCCCTAGATATTATTATCCAATATGCACTGCGATTGCTTTCTGTACTTGCTTTCTGCTGTTACTATTAACTGATAAAAATTCATTTATAAATTAGTCTTATCAAATGGCTTGATTATGGTGAAATACGGCTGCTCTAAAGTTGTTCATCCGCAAATGGAAACTAGGCAGCTCGAAACAAATTAATTGTTACTGATATGTGCAAAGCACAAGGTGATACCGAAATAAATTGATACTCCGAAAACGAAATACATTAACATAAATTATAATTGTTATTCTTTTGGGTAGACTTTAAAGACTAATCATAAGATCTGAGGGCCATATTAACAGATTGTTAAATAATATGGGCTATACAAATGTACATATGCCTTTCTTTTTATTGACAATTAAATTTAATTATCATATTAGCATAGAGATATTTATGTAGATTTTTAAAAAGTTTGTGGGAAATTTTACTTTCTGCTGATCAATTGCAGTCGATTATTTATTCACTATCTTTTGAGCACTAATCGCATTTCTGATTTTTCAAATCCCAAATGCTTTCGATAAATTTTGATCACTGATCTTGATATCCTCGATTTTAAAAGTGATTTCAGTGATCTTTCTTACAAGGTCGCTGGGTGGGTGGTTGTGGGTGGATGTGGGTTGCCCGCTCAGCGTTAGTCGACAAAACGGTCGATTGTCACGTTGCCGATAAGAAATACGCGGATTGTTCGATGGCCTGGCTATCGTTATCGGTATCACTTACCTTCACAGTGGGAGATATTCTAATCCGCGGGAGACACGAGATGCAGATGCTGGTTAATCCGGTTTGGTGACGGATCTCGATTTGTTTTGTTTCTGCCTCGTTTCGCTGGCGGGAAGTCAAGAATCATGATTGATTATATAGTTATAATGCTGAGTAAACACGCACACACATATGTACACACACCCAAGCGGGTAAATCGAATAAGAACAGTACACCAACACCAACCTGCGAATCAATTATCTCTCTCTCTCTCTCCCTCTACCGCATAGCATTCGCCGCGCGACCTTCACCGTTTTTCTGTCTCTCTCTATGGGCTCTCCTTGAATTGCTGTTTACCGTTCGTTGGGCGCATTGGAACTGCGCCGATTTTTTTTTTGGTAGCTCGCTAATAACTGTTAACAGCTTGATTACAATCTAGTTGTTTTGTTGTAGTTGTCGTCGCTACCGCCTGCTGTTGTTGCTGAACAGCTGATAATATATAATACTGAAAGCGCGATAGCTTTATCGATATACTTTCGGTATATAAATACTGAAAATCGAAATACTATCTAAAGTCCGATAGCCAGCCAGCTTTAAGCTCATGCCGATATCGATTGGCGGAACAATCTCCAATCGAATTTGAATATTGCAATTGGTAACCGCACTTTGAATATTTAAATTTTATTGTTGCGAATGATTTTTATCTATTCTGTTCATTTTCATATTTACGTGTTTTTTTTGTTGCTTTTTTAATAATTAACTACTAATTTATAAATAGGCAAGTAAAGTTATTTACAGAGTAGATGTGATAAAAAATAGGTTAATAACCCCATTAAAATGGCACCATAATCTCGAGCTGTTAGCAGGTTATGCCTCAATAAATTGCTATCTCATTTTAAATAGTGGATTCTCTTAAAAAATGAAGCATTAACCCCCCTTGATGACCGAAGTTTATACATTGTATATGAGGCGGCAGAGATAAGAGAAATTATCGGAGGTCTTATCGGCCAAAATGCATAATCTCGTCATATCCGCCATCTCGGTGGCCTCGTAAAGTGATTTGGATTTATATATGAGATATTACGATTTCGTTCTTGGCCCTGCACTTGGTGCGTAGTTTTCGTTTTTGGCCAAGATCGCAATGGTTTGGCAGTTGGATTTCGGCCGCGGTCCCATCATGAAGGCCAATCAATTGAGTTTTCTGCTTTTGGCCTTGTTCTGTACAAGTTCTCATCAGGTAAATCGATGGATTTGCATATATAATTTATTTTAACGGACTTTTGATCCTTGAAAATCTTATTTAGTTATAATAGTACAAAATTCCTAAGTGTCAACATGTCGTATACTTGATATTCAGTTGTGAAGCATTTTTTATTATTATTATTTTTCTATTCCCCTTCTTATTCAAATATTTTTTAATTAAAATATAATAAATAACAAAAAAAATAAAAAAGCTTTTGATCATTGAAAATGTTATAAAGTTATAATTGTAAAATATTCCTAAGTGCCAACATGTCGTATACTTGATATTTAGTTGTGAAGTATTTTTTATTAGTTTTAGTTTTTTATATACCTTTTTTTCAATTATTTTTGAATGAAAAGATAATAAATAGAACGTATTTTAGGTTTATTAAATATTTCTTGGTTTATTCCTTAGTTTTCAACTATTTAACTATTTTTAAATAAAAAATTAAATTATAAAAATGTGTTTTAAAAATTCCTAATACTTTCTGAAAATCCCTAAACGATGTGTTCTTCCCTTTCAGCTTTCCAAGCCCGAGGATCCCACCTACTGGGCAGCGGTGGTGGAGCACAAGAACGCAGAGGCTGATACGGCCCGGAAACGCACCACCCTGACCTCGGAATCCTTCCAGCAAATCATCCGGAATGCCGGCGATATAGACATCATTGTGTTTCCAGAACATATAATAAATAGTCGCGAGACAGCCACTTTCGTTCCCCAAGAATCGCAGAATGTGACGCCCTGCTACCAGGCGGATTACGAGCTCTTCTTGATCGAATTATCCTGCGCGGCGCGATCGAGGAGCCTGTATGTGGTCATAAATGTGGTGGAGAAGGAGCTGTGTGGCAGTGGATTGGGTTCGGATGCCCTCAATCCCTGTCCCTCAACCGGCGTTCGTTACTTCAACACCAATGTGGTTTTCGATCGCAGGGGCAGGGTGATCTCGCGATATAGAAAAAGCCATTTGTGGCGCCACGAATATGTGGAAACTTCAGTGCTACGTACGCCCGATTTGTCCACTTTTACCACCGATTTCGGAGTGACCTTCGGCCATTTCATCTGCTTCGACATGCTCTTCTACGATCCGGCCATGAAGTTGGTGAGGGAATTGAATGTCACGGATATTATATATCCCACCTACTGGTTCTCGGAACTGCCCTTCCTGGGCGCCGTTCAGCTGCAGGAAGGCTGGGCCTTTGGCAACGATGTCAATCTCCTGGCCGCCGATGCCAGTCAACCGGATGGAAGGACCACGGGATCGGGTATCTACGCAGGTCGTGGTGGTCGTCTGGTGGCCGAGATCTACGAGGAACCCACCACGAAGCTGCTGATAGCGGAGGTTCCGAAGAGGGAACATGGAAGATTGGCTCCTAGTTTTACTCCCCTCTTTGAGCCCCAGTTGAAAACACAGAGATTCACCGGAGTGGCCACCTACAGGGATTACAATGTGGATATTTTCGAGAGTGAGCTGCTGCCCGAGGATTTCTTGGAGGTGGAAAGGCAGCTCTGCCACGGCAGCTTCTGTTGTTCTTTTTCAATTGAGAGAAAGCTAACGATTAGTAATGAGGTAATCTCAAGTTCAGATCCCAAAACCTATCGCTATAGATTGGCCGCCTATTGGGGCAATGAGACGACTGTCATACGCGTGGATCGCACAGAGCAGGCCATTTGTGCTTTATTTACCTGCCTGGATGAGCACATCAGCAGTTGTGGCTATATATTCCCCGCCTCCGAGGAGGTCATCAATAAGCACCACTTCACGAAGTTGAATATCTCTGGAAACTTTCCCGCTGCTCCGCGTGGTCGTCGACTGATCATGCCCAGCACCTTGAATGCCCTCTTCCTGCCCGTTGCTGTTGCGGATTATGATTGGGTTGAGTCACCCGAGGCGGCTGCCAATCCGGATAAGCCCATCTTTGTGGGCCTCAGCCTGGCGAAGCCCCAGAACGACCTGCTCACTTTTGCCATTTGGGCCAACTACTTCACCGAGCTGCCCAGCACGCACAACTTGGATCACATGCAGCCGGATTACACCAGTCCCTCGACTTCCTCCTCCGGAGTTTTAACCTCCAGTGTTTTGTGGCTCCTTAGCTGCCTTTTCTTTATACCACAGAATCTATAGCAAGGTCACATTGGTTGGTCACACTCATATCTTGCTTTGGGCACACTGCGATTCTTATTTACGCGGCAAATTCAAAAGCACATTGTTTTGTACTTGTAAATGCTTATATTTAGTATAAATTGGTATTATTTTTTGTTGTTTTAATATTTCTACTTTGACAGACACATATTGTTGAAATATTCTGTGACTCATTTTCTTAACTTAACCATATCTTCTTTTTGTAATCTTCTGATAAAAGCGTGACGCTCAGTTATTTAGATTATTTTTATTGCTTCATAAGCAAATAAATAAAGAAATTAAAATCTCTGGCTAAAAGTTAGACAGCAATATTCTTTATAATGTGATACATTTGCATTATAGCTTCAATAAAACCTCGAAAAAATTAGAAAATCACCAGTGTTTCATCAACTTGGCATTTCCTTTGAATTGGCTCGAGCTCTCTAAAAACTGACCGTAACTTTTAGGCGGGCATTCGTGAGTCTCCAAAAGAGGAATCGGGAAGCGTTTGAATCAAAGGACGGCCGCGCCCACAGCCTGCCGCCCCTTTGGACCACCCACCCAGCCAACGACGACGACCTTGTGGAGATTTCCTTCCAGCGCCTGCGCTCCAAGGACCTCTGCCAGCGTTGTTTGCATTTCCAACAGGTAGCGACGTCCTCGTCGTCGTCGTCATCATCCTCCATGCAACAGTGGCCGCCGTTTATAATGAGCCAAGGACGTGGATGAGGGGGTGGTTGGGGGGTGGGTGCTCCCACACACTCACGCATCTTCAATGGCAACGAAGACGACGGGAGAATCCTGCTGGACAGGATTCACGCTGTGACTTTCCGTGCGATTTAACATCATTTGCTTGCTGATGCCACACCGCCTCCAAAGTACCGCCCCCCGCCCACAGCCTGACCTTCCACCCCTCGAAAAATAAAACCCAAAAAAAACTGAAAAGGTGTCCACCAGCAACAAGGATAAAAGTTCTCCCAAAGGAAAGGGCTGCTCCAAAGACAAATTGCCTAGAAAAACTGAAAAAAATTATCTAAATAATTAAATAAATATTAAAAAAATATATTACAAATATTTACATTTCATTAATTACCAGAAAACAATTTTTTAAATTACCTTGTCAATTAAAATCGAAATCAAAAGAAATATATATTGTCAAGCCAACTAAAAAGTCAAACAAAATAATTCTCACAAAATCAAACCCTTAAAAAAACAAATAAATAAAGTCCTACATAAAACATGATTTTAATGCACATGAGTAGGTACTTTTAATTATTGTTTATTTACTATTATTTACTATAATCATATATGATATACAATAAAATCTAGTTCTTTACCGAGCGAATGAGAATAAAATGTTTTCAAAAGATGGTCTAATTTCCCTCCATTTATTTGAAGTTCCCGCCTGCCCTTATTTTTTCATCACCCTCCTGCCATTCAATTCGATTCCCAGGCCTTGGTAAACATTTATTTTTTTGCACAAAAATCAAAAACTTTGAGCTCTCTCCGCTTGCCCGATTTTTTGGAGGGTGTTTCGGGGTGGTTTTTGGGGTGGTGCTGGGTGGTTTTGGGTGGCGGGATGCTGCTGTGGCACCTGCCACTTGAAAATTCCGCACGGCTTCTGTTACATTTTGATTTATTTGCTGAAATTTATTGTTAAAGTGAATGGAGGCGCAAAGTTGCCAGTGAAAAAGAGGGCGGAGTTCGAGCTCGAGTGGGTGGTTGGGGTGGCAGGGGGCGGCGGGGGGTGGCGGTTATGTATAACAGGTGGTGAAGTGTAGGTGAAGGCCGCCGTCGCGCCCATAAAATATCAGGCCGTGCGAAAGTGTACGGCTTCATTTCTTTTTTTCTACCCGATTTCCGTGTGGCCCAACTCCAACCCCTCACCGCCAATTCAATCGAGAGGTCCGAGGACGAGGAAGGATTCTCAATCAGAATCAGTTCCAGCCATTGACACACACACACACACACACACAAAAGAGCCCTCGTATTAGCAACTAACCGCATTCGGAACTCGCAACCATTTCGATTCCCTTTCTCCTGGCCACACAGTAAGGAATTATCGAGGATTTGAAAGTAAGAAACAATCTTAGATACGCGAATTCTTCAGGAAAGATTTCTGAAGGAAACTCTCACAGAAAAATAATATCAAAAACGCGAATTCTTCAGATTTTTTCATAATTTTTGTAGGAGAGACGGAAATATGCAAACAGCATAAAGAATTTGCGAGCATAGCAACTGCTTGCACTCAATTAAATATATTTCTCAGTAGTTAAGGGATTTAATATATATTTAAATATATTTCTGAGTAGCTAAAAGTTTCAATCTTTTTTAGTTAATTTAGCTATGATTTTCAAACAAATAAAGTAATATTTTCTGACTGTGCAGTTGGTTTCTTTTCGCCACCTCCATCGCCAGTGCTTCAGTCACTTCCCTGAGGTCTCAGGCAGAACTGATTGAATTGAATATCAGTTTTCAGCTGCCACAGCTCCCCAGATTGCCACGCCCCCATCCACTGTCGCCCCTCAAGGAACCCTTGCCGTTCTGGCTTGCCATTTGAATTTGAATGGAAATGATTTCACTTGATTTTCATATTTTTATTATGTTCCCTTCGGGCTCACCTGCCACACACACACACATACATATATCCGGAGTCATCTCGCCGTCTCACTCCCTAACTGTATTGCCCTCTCTTTCACACACACACACCCGGACGCCTTTTTGACTTTATTAAAATGTATTGTAAACATGGCTTTGAGGGGAAGTATTTTACCTTATTTACCCGACTTACCAGGCCGCAACTTTTGGTCGCTGCCAGAATGCAATTCTCTGGTTCTCTAATTCTCTGATTCTCTAATTCTCTAATTGTATGCAGAATGTGGCAAATACTTGCGGCCTTTAAGTGGGCAACCCATCCGGAAATTCCGCTGGGTAATATATTAAATCGATTGTTTGGTACAAAACATATCATATATTGTATTCAACTCCAATTTAGCTAGTGGGTATATTACAAAAATCAAGGTCGCTTTGAAACCATTAAAAAAGGTGCCTAAAAGTATGCAGTATAAATAATAATAATAAAAATAAATTTAGTTGCATACTTTTAGACAGCTATTTTGGTAATTTCAAGAAAATTTCAAGAAAAAAATAATGTTCTTTTAGTAATAACAATTAAGTAAGAATTAATTTGTAATTACCAAAATTATCATATCAATTAAGAGTGAATGCAGTTCGAATTTTTGATTTGCCCCAATTGCTTAGCCCTGCCATTGATTTGGGAGTCGCAATTTTTTGGCCACTTGTCCACGCAGCCAGAATTCAACCACCCTGCTCAGGTATATATATAATATACACATACACTAGTACATATTTGTGCATACAGATGTATAATTCAGCAGGAGCAGGGCAAAAACTGGGGCCGAAACAAAAATATAAATAAGAAAGAATATGATTACGTATACGCAACGTGGAACTTCTTTAGCTTCAAGTGCGTGAGATTGTGTGTGTGTGTGCCTGGTCATTACGCACGTAGCATTTGTATGAATGGAAAACCCACCCACCCACCTACACCCACTCCATTTTCCTTGCCGCATCGCTGAGCACATAAAAATAAATCAAGTTTTTCTTCATTTCCTTTGCTGTTCGTCGACTTTCCCCCCTGCCGCTTTTCTTTTTGTGTTCGGCGCTGTTGCTGCCATATGCCTTTTTTAAGATTTTAACTTTATGCGGCATACTTACGGGGGTCCAGGGCCCGGGAAACGCAACGCACAGGTGGAAAAGCTAACGACGCCGCTGACCGCGCGCGTCCTTAACGCGTTTTTTATGCTAAAACTAAATGAAGTCAAACACGGGCAGGAAACGGCAGGGAAAACAGAAAGTACAGAGGGAACAGGTAACAGGTAACAGGTAAGAGCCAACAGGTAACTGGTAACATGTAACGGGCAACAGGAACAACATAAACGACAACACATGGTGATAAAAGCGACGGGGCAAACTAAAATCTAAAAAATAATAAAATGCCACAGGCAGCAGCCGCAGACAAGCGTTCAACAGCAACAGGCTATATAACCACAAGTGGTAGCAGCATCGAAAAAAATATCAGTGGCAGAAAACTACAAATTACACTTAAAAATTGAGAGTTGCGAAATCTCGAAAAAGTTCGCCTAAACGTATGCTGTAAAAATAAGAGTTGTTAATTTGTTGAGGTAAAATATGTATTGTATCTTAAAATCACAATAGTTTTTTAATATATATTTTTGACAAAGCTTAGAAAATCACAAAATGCCATTTCAAAATAGCTTTCAAATAGAACAAAAACTAAAGCATACTTTTAGGTACTATTTACAAAAGTTTTAAAATCTCTTTTTCTTTTTTACTGCTTTAATTTTTAATTTGGTCTATTTAAAAATATAAAAATATTATAATACGTTAATAAATACGTTTATAGATGTTCTGTTACTCAAAGATTTATTAAAATAAAAAAAATATATATTTTGCTAGCATTCAATGTTTGCCTTTTCAGTGTAGACAAAAAACAAAAGACTGTGTCCATAACAAACAGTGAAAAAAAGCGCAAAACCAAGTGAAACAGCCGCAGCGATGCCAATAAAAGTATTTATATAACCGCACCGCACCAGCAGACAACAAAATCTCAATTAATTTACATGAAAACCGCAAAAAAACGGCGACATATTAACCATAACCAGAAGCAACAGGCAATAAAAGCAACACCATACAAAACGGCGATAAAAAATAGCTTTTTCGGAAAACCAAAAGCAATTATTTTTAAAAAATCACAAATTAATCAAAAATATCATTTAGGAAACTGTCAATATTTGTAGCCAAAAAGCCAACAACAGAAACGCATTTTTCAAGGAAACTCCATTCAAAAAACGCACCGCCCCATAAAAGGCGTGAATAATATGCGGAATATTATTAAGTTAATCATACATTTTTGTTGCGTCCATCAAATGTGTGGAAATTGAATTGAATTGAATTGAATAGCATTTTATTGCCAAGGCAACCCACGTCCCCCGATTCTCAGCTGTGCACACATACACGGCCCACCTTTTG